TGGCCTTTGGACACCTGTGGCATTGGGACAGCCATGGCATTTGGGCACAGGGATGGGTGCTCAGCCAGGTTTCCCAGGCAGCAGCACCTTGGCAGCCAAATTCACCGACCATCACCACAGGGGAATTAGGGGAGCCCCTGTCTGCGGAGCCGGGCACAGCGCTGGGCTGTGTTTGGGGCGCAGCTGGTGGCTGTAGTAGAGAGCTGGGGTCAGGAGCCCTTGGCTCTGGCCCAGCCTCTGTTCTGAGCTGACTGGGCAGCTTTGGTTGAGTTTCTTAACATCTCTGTGGCTAAACTCCTTCCCTATCAAGGTGGGTGAATCTTCTGAACGTATTGGGAAACTGCGGCTGAAGCAGCCGGTCTGCCGGGAGGCTGCACCGGGAGGAGCCGGCTGTGGGTGGCCACAGCAGACGTGCCTGTGGACGGAGAGGTGACAGGGAAGGGTGATTCCTGCGGAAGAGGGATGGACATCACCTCTTTGGGTCTTGATTTTGGCCAAGATGGTGAGTCTGTCCTGAGCCCTGGCATGAACCCATCATGTGCCAAGGCAGGGCCACCCCGGGCCATCACAGGGCAGGTTGGGTGAAGCTGTCACCTCCTGCCACCTCCGCCTCCAGCTCCAGAGGCTGCCACCACCATCGGAGACGGCTGCTGCTCTGCGGGATAGCAGCTGATTAGCTCCTCCAGCTGCTTTATTGGCTTACCGGTGACAGTCCCCAGGTGGATTTCATTTTCCCAAGAGGGTACGTGCATGTGTTTGGTGTGTTCAATGCACACTGTCCCTCTCCCGCTGCCCAGGGAAGCAGAATGGTGTTCCTGCAGTGCCCTTGCAGGGCTTTCCTGCATGCAGGGTACTCGTAGCAGGCAGTGTGGGGGTGCTCAGGACTGGATGTTCAGGGATGCTCATGATACAGGGACACTCAGGGTTGATGCTGTGGCTGGCAGCACAGGATGTTCATGACACTGGGATGCTCAGACCTGCAGCACAGGGAGGCTCATGACACAGGGGTATTTGCAGCCAGCAGTGTGGGGATGTGATTTCCCAGGACAAGGGGATGGGATGAGAGTCTGTGACACAGGACCAGCAGAAAGGGTTGTTTGTGTGGCAAGAAGGTGGATCTCCAGTTACGGATTTGTGTGTTGTCCTGGACAGCAACAAAGCTCCAGTAGTGGAGCTCTGCTCTGGCTGCCCTGGCTGGACAAATCCGGCAGGGGGTCACAGCACAAAAACCTGCCTTCTCCTGTGTGAGAGCCAGGGCAGGAGCATCCAAAGGGCAGGACTCCACAGGATATTTGGGCATTTCCTTCCCCAGCCAAACCCAGGCAAGCACGTGTCACGGCTTCCCAAGGAGCGCTTTGGAGGGATTGTGTCGGTCTCCAGGAGCTCGGGGTGAAGCTCACGGCTGTCCCCGCAGGACCGAGCTCTCCGTTGGAGGGCAGCGGGTGACTCAGGGTGCCCGGTCCGCTGGCACAGGGGTGCTGGGCCGGCCGAGGGCACGCCTGGCTCCACGCAGCCGGCACAGCCGGCGCCAGGCGAGTGCCTCGGGGGGGTAAATACGGCTTTGTGCCGGGCCGGCTGCCAGCGCGGCGGGTGAGGTGCCCGCCCCGGCCGGCCGCTCCCCGGGTGCCCCCCGCACCCCGCGAGGAGCCCAGCCCAGCCTGGCATGCCCGCCATGAGAGGGCAGCCCGCGGGGAAACCGAGGCACAGGCGAAGGAGGCTGCTCGGAATGCGCCATGCAGGGCTGCGCCTCAGTGGGGACCCAGAGGCCAGGGGCCGGAGCCAGGCCGTGCCAGGGCTGAGGGCCCCGGCCCCGTTTGGTGCTGGGCGGCCGCGCTGCCTTCGCCACGGCCGGCGGCCGGCCCGACATTTGTAAGCAATTTGCCGGAGCGTTCCGGAGGTGCTTCCCGCTGCCGCTTGGCAGCCAGACGCCGCACAGAAGCTCTTCAGCTCCCTCGAGGCCTCGCTCAGGCCCGGCCCTGCGCTGCGGAGCCTCCTCCTGCCCGGGCAGGCGCCGGGGACGCGGCGGGCCGGGGCAGAGCGGGCGGGGACCCCTCACGGGGTCGTGCTGGGGAGCAGGGCCGGGCAGGGGGAAGCCGCGGCTGGAGTTAACCCTTGGGGTGCACCAAGCTGGGTTTTTTCCCTGGAAATAAATAACCCCTTCAGGGTGCCTTGTATTTCAGCGCTGGATCCGTGTTCTGGGCTCATTCTCCCGGGTTATGAGTGTGCTCTGGTGGGGAATGGGGGTTGCGGATCAGGCCTGAGAGTGCCCCTGCCCCAGTGATGATGTGGCTGGGAAGGATCTGGCCACGCCATCCCAATGCTGTAACTGCATTAACCCTGCAGCCCTTTCCCAGCCCAGCTCTGCAGCCCCCTGCCAAAGCTGACCAGGCCAGACTGGGAGGGCTGCGGGATTGGGAACAGCTTGGCCCAGCCTCTGCTGAGCTCTAGAACATCTGTGTGGAAAAGGATGGGTAGCCTGGGCACCAACGAGGAGAGAAGGGGCTGAAGAAATGGGGAATACCTGGGGAACTGGTCAAAAGGAGCACATGGATGGAATGAGGAGGGGGAATGCAGGGAAATGTCCCATCAGCTGCCTTCCTGTCACCAGGTCCCTGGAGTTTGAGGCTGTGCAGCAGGATGGCACTGGTGGAGGGGTCCCAGCTGCTTGGCTGTGGTCTGCTTCCCCTCCATCCCTCTTTTTCTCCTTTCCCATGCCTTTATGCTGGGGTGTCAAGACACTTTCCCACCCACACTTCACCTACCAGCCTTGCTGCAAACCCTCCAGCTCTCCAAGCAGTGATTTACCCACCTGCAAACCAGGGATGCTTTCCCTCTCTGCCCAAGGTGGACCCAAGCATTTAGGAAGACCCCCAAAGGGAATGCTGCTCCTGGCTGTGCTATTGGTGACCTGCAGCTTTCTCAGCCACCCACACCGTGTCCATGTGCTCCTGCTCTGTGTCCTGGCCTGGCTGGGCTGCTGGAGCAGGGAACGAATTTGAGGAATGTTGCTCAGGGAGATGTGGATGCGGCCAGCTGTCTGGGACACCCACCGTGTCCTGGGACATCCCAGCCCTGCTTGGTGGACTGGCCAGCTCAGTCCCCTTGAAGGTGGGGTTAGGGATAGGATATTTGGGTGAACTCCCCTTCTTCAAACAGTGGGCATTGCTCAACTCCAGGACCAGCCCCCAGGGGCTGTGGGATGTTTCTGCCTCTTTTGGAGGTGTTGGTGCTCATTGGGCATCTCCATTCAGCCTGTCTCTTTTCCCAGCCTTGCATTGAGAGTCTGCCCCTCCTGCCCTGAGTAAGGACCCCTCTTCCCCCTCTTCTTTCTCCTCCCCTTCCCGACCCTTTTCCAGGGGCAGTTTTCAGCTGCAGATGGTGGGAGCAATCCCAGTGGTTACGGTTCTCTAGGACTCAGATCAGAAGTGGCCAGTTTACAAGTGAAATGGTTTTTTTTCCTGGCTGCTGAGGTCAAGGGAAGCGACTTGTCCTTGATGAAGACCCCAGATCCTGAGCTCTTGGGGCTGGGAGGGGGAAGTGGGAGCTCTGCTGAGTGATGGCTTTGGGAGCCAGTTCCTTTGGGAAGGTCTGTTGGGTTGGTGGCTGAGGCTCAAAGACAAACAGTCCCTGGAAGAGGTAATTAGGGTGATCCTGTCCTGATCCCCTCAGCTGTGGTGAGGAGTCATGAGTCCTTCACCAGCAGCCACTCCAAGCTCATTTTGTGTTAATTAGGCTGTTTACAAAACACTGTAAATTGCAGTAATGAACACCCCAGTCCTTGTTTTCCTTTAATTATCCATTTGCATGATAAATGAGCCAGCCCCCCTTCAGCTCTTCTTTTCCAGCAGAGGGATCACACAGCCCAGTATGGCTTAAGGGATCTGCCATGCAAGGTGGGCAGAGACCTTGGGAGAGAAGGAGAAGAGAATTGAGGAGAAGGAGAGGAAGGAAAAGGAGAAGGATCTTCAGCCTCAGAGATCTACCTGGCTGCGAGGAAGGGGCTCCTTCCCCAGGACCCCCCCACAGCCGAGTGGGGTTTGAGCAGCTGTTTCACCCCAGGCTCAGAGCCTGGCACTCAGACTTTGATTTTCTGTGGGAAAAAGCACAGAAATCATTCAAAGCATTTAATCCTCCCTGGCTCAGCGCTGGGGCTGCCTGGAAAGGCAGAGGAGGAGTGGTGGTATTTCTTGGCCCCCCACATACCTTCCCCTTTCTTTCCCTTTTGACTTAACGGGTGAATTCCAGAGATGTTAATCCGCTCTCAGCCCCTCGGTGAAGAATAAAATGTCCTCTCTGTGTGGGAGGAAGGAATCCATTGGAATTAATTGTGGGAAGGGGCAGGGAGCTGGGGGTGCACTGGGGGTGCGTGTGAGGCTGTGCTGAGGGTGGACTGAGCATCCTCTGCTGCCCAGTGGTCCCTGAAGGAGCAGGAGATATGGGCAGAGGGGTAGGGATAGCCAAGGTGGCACAATCCTTGGGTCTCTGAAGGGGAGGGAGGGCTGGCCAGGGGAATGGGGATGTCCAAGGTAGCACAATCCTTGCATTCACAGCTGAAAGCTCCGGCCTCTGCCCTGGCCATAAAAATGCCAGCCATGTGGTCTGTGGGCCAGGCCTCAGTGGCAGCGGCGGGCACAGGGAGCGAGTGGGGGTAAAATGGCCCCACTCAGCAGTTTTGGTGTGTCCGTGCCTATAAAGGGGAGGGAAGCGCTCGCTGTCCTGCCAAGCCAGGGTGGCAGGAGCTGCGGGGTCTGACCCATCCCGGGGGCACACGTGGATAGGGCAGGAGAGATGGAGGGAGGAAAGTGCCAAGCTGGAGCTGGGTCAGCCCACTGAGGGTCCGTGGAGGTGAAAGTGGAGGCAGAGGAGAGTAGAGCAGAGACCCCCGGGATGGGCCAGGCGCTGTTCTGTGCGCTGGGAGGTGGGTGTGCTGTGAGATGGGGTTCATGGGGGGGCCTGCAGGCTCTGCCTCCTGCCCTGACCTTCACCTCTTGTCTCTGCAGAGCTCCTGGGATCTGCCAAGCGCCTGAACGTGAACTACCAGGATGCGGACGGGTGAGTGCTCCCCTGGAGGGTGCTGGGTGCTGCTGCCAGCCCGGGGGGCTCCTCTCCCTGCTGTCCAGCCAGTCCTGCAGCTCAGGGTATCACAGCTTTCCAGGGGAGCTGGGGAACACATCAACATCCCAGAACCAGGGAAGCCCTACACAGGCAGAGCCAGTGCCTGCCTGGATCTCAGCTGAGGGCAGTGCTCAGTCCCTCCTGAAAACCCTTCATAAATCCCTTCTACGTGCCCCTCTGTGGGGATGGGGTTGGATAGGGATGGCAGCATGTGCCTGTGTCCCCCTGGTTAAAGCCCAGAGGAGCACCCAGCCAGCCTCAGTGCCTGCACGTGCTCATGCCTCTGTTTAATATCCCAAAAGCAAAATCCCATTGTTTTGGGGGGAGTTGGAGAAAGAAAATATGAGGTTGCCCAGTGACCACAGCATATTTGTGTAGCTCATCACTTCCAAAATCCAAGTACTTAATAAACTGGGTACTGAGAGTTAAAGAAACCACAAAGGCTCATAAAATAAATAAGCATATTATTCTTATTGAATTAACTCTGACCTGTCAGTCATTAGCATTGTTTTTATGGGCTGTTGTTGTACCTAATTTCTACATGTTTTCTTTTGGAGGGCTCTGTAGGAAGAGGTGTCCATGATGAGTCCTAACAGGCCAGTGGGGGGTTGGGAACATGCAGGATGGCTTCGTCTTAAAATAATACTGTGCAGATGGAGCTTAATAGAAAAAGAATTTAATAATAGAAGCAATGATCTGATTCTGATAGGGCACAGGGTTTGTGCTTGGGCAACTCCAGGAGGCTGATGGTGGGAGCTGGGGTAAAGGTTCTGTTCCCTGCCCGAGGGACACGGGCAGGGTGTTGGGTTTCGCTGGGGCACAGGAAGGGGATGATGGGGAGGTGAGACGTGAGCATGGGGAGGGCAGTGTGTGTTCTGGGAGAGCCAAGGTGCTGGTGGTGTCCTTGGCATCACCTTGCTCAGGGCTTGGAGAGGATGGGGTAGGCAAGTGTGGGTTTGTGCAGCCACCCCAGGGCGAGTGAGACCCCACAGAGATGGGTCAGGGGGATTTTGTACCCCCCCCACATCCACACTTTGAGGCAGAGGTTTTGCTGTGGCTCAGGACATGGTGTGTGCACTGGAGAAAGGAGCAGCCCTCTCTTCTGGGGTTAGTGTCCCTCCTGCAATGCTGAGACTTGCACAGGGATCTGGGGATGCAGATCATGAGGAGAGCCATGCTGGATGAGCTGAGTCCCTGGCACTGGGTTTGGGCACTGCAGAGCCCATTGGAGCCCCAGGCTGGTGCTGTCAGGAGCCCCCCGTGTCCCTTGGAGTGGCTCACGGGCTAATCACCGGTGGCACAGGGACCCCTCTCTTGGCCTTGGCCCTTCACGTGACGGCTCGGGGGAGTGCCAGGCAGACAGGCCCCTTTCACAGCCCCAAGACACTGGGCTCTTTCATTACCGGCGGCCTCCCACGCTCTGCCATGGGCTCCTGGCAGCCCTGCTGGCATGGGGAGGGGGCAGCTGGCAGAGGGGGCAGGAGTGGCCACAAGGCCGATTTGTTTGCCGGGTGCTGTGGGCAGCGTTGTGGCTGCCTGGCTGCCCCGTGGAGAGGGGAGGTGCATCTCTCTGCATCCTGCCTGTTTCCCCCAACAGAGGGCCTGGAGTGAGGGACTCCTCTCACTGGGGTTTCCCAAGGTACACAGTGTGCCTGCATCCCTCACTGAGCCCTGGGGCACAGGCAGCTTGGAGGGATTCATCAATGTTTTGCCATGGGGAATCTGAGGCACTGGGAGTGGCGAATCTGGGAGGATGTCACCATGAACAGCCAGTGACAATCCCAGCCCACGTCCCCGTGCAGGGGGTGCTGTGAGGACAGCACAGTGGGGCTGGGGGCCGGGCTGAGCCCTTCCTTGTGCCTCAGGTTCTCAGCGCTGCACCACGCAGCCCTGGGCGGCAGCCTGGACCTCATCTCGCTGCTGCTGGAGGCGCAGGCCACCGTGGACATCAAGGACAGCAACGGTAAGGGGTGACCCCGGGCACGGCCCCCGGCCCAGCCCCCTGTGCCCGCCGGGGGCCGTGTCCAGCCCTGCTGAGCCGCGCTGCCCACAGGGATGCGGCCCCTGCACTACGCGGCGTGGCAGGGCCGCCTGGAGCCCGTGCGGCTGCTGCTCCGCGCCGCCGCCTCCGTCAACATGGCCTCGCTGGACGGGCAGATCCCGCTGCACCTCTCGGCGCAGTACGGCCACTACGAGGTGGTGAGTGAGAGCGCAGAGCCACCATGTGCCCTCTCTGGGGTGCTGGGTGGGGGCAGACCCCGCCGTGCCGGGTGGGAGGGAGGCTGCAGGGGGATGCTGAGCCCCTGCACCGCGTTGCTCCCCTGCAGTCGGAGATGCTGCTCCAGCACCAGTCCAACCCGTGCCTCATCAACAAGGCGAAGAAAACCCCGCTGGACTTGGCCTGCGAGTTCGGGAGGCTGAAGGTGAGTGCTGTGGGCTCTGCCCTGCACCAAGGGCTTCTCCAGGGGCTGCTGTGGAGCCCACTGGCTCCTCTGGGAGCAAAGCACGGGGTCTGGCCACAGCTGCTCTCCCTCCACCATGAGACTCAGAGCCTGGCAGACAGCAGCAGCCTCCTCCCGTGGCCAGACACAGCCTGATCCTGAACCTGGGAGCTGTGGGTTTTGCCCCTGACCTCACAGCAGGACAGTGTTAGACTGGGAGTGAAGCCAGGAGTTGTTGCTCCTGGTTCTCCACAGCCTTCCCCCACCCACCCCAGCTTTGCTCACAGTTAAGCATGGATAGGCTGAGCTGGCTAATCCCAGCAAGCTCTGAGCATCCAGCCCTGCTCCAGGTCCCCAGCACAGTTCCTGGGGACAGGGCCACACGGTGCTCTGTGAGACCCTGGCCCTGCCAGCACCATTGGTTTGGGATGGAGCACAGCCAGCCAGACTGTTCTGTGCCCCACTCGGAGGGGACCAGGGGGATATTTCCATTTTTGGAGTATCTGTAATGTCTGCAGCTATAAACAGGGCAGTAAAAATAACTGCTCTGTGCCTCTGGGTTGCCCTGAGATGCTGAGAGTCGCTCTGGGCTGGAGAGACTGGAGGTTTTTAGGGCTTGGTCTGAAAAGCCTGATTATGGGAAGACTATTTCTGGCTGTTGTGACCTTTTGCAGCCCCTCACGACAGTGTGGCCATGCCAAGCACTGTCCAGCTCCAGCCAAGCCTGGGGCTGTGGATGGAAGGAGTGGCAGGATGGGGAGTGGTGGGCTGGCCCCAGGGATGAGCCCTCAGTGGGAGGCTGCAGGTGGGGGTACCTGCACCCCATTGCTTACCAGTGTCTCATGCAGGTGGCCCAGCTGCTGCTGAACAGCCATCTGTGTGTCGCCCTGCTGGAGGGACAATCCAAGGATGCCACTGACCCCAACTACACCACTCCGCTACATCTGGCAGCCAAGAACGGGCACAAGGAGATCATCAGGTAATTCCCTGCTTTATTCTGGAAAAACCCGTCATGGCTTCAGTCTCACTTCCTCCCAAACACACCTTCCTCCTGCAGGCTTCAGCCCCTCATCCCCAAAGCAAGTGCAAGGTGTTGTCCATTTCCTGTCGTAAAGCAGCTGAGTGCCTGGTCCCGATGTCCTGTCCTCTTCTTGCTCTTGCTTTCTGCTTCTGCCCTCCCTGGACTCCTCTCTTTCATGCCTCTCCCTCCTTCCTACCAGGCAGCTGCTGAAGGCTGGGATTGAGATCAACAAGCAGACAAAGACAGGCACAGCCCTGCACGAGGCCGCGCTCTACGGCAAAACAGAGGTGGTGCGGCTCCTGCTGGAGGTGAGCATGGTGGGGATGGGGCTGGGGGCGTCACTCAGCACCCTTTCCCCTCAGTCCCTTGCCTCCCTTGAGTCTGGTGGCAGACAGGGAGCTGGCCTTGACCGTGTCCTCTCCTGGGCAGGGTGGAGTTGATGTGAACATCAGGAACACCTACAACCAGACAGCACTGGACATTGTCAACCAGTTCACCACCTCACACGCCAGCAAGGACATCAAGCAGCTGTTGAGAGGTGAGGTGGGGATGGCACTGAGAGGGGTTTCTTCCCTCTGGGACCTGCCTGGGCTCCCAGTGCTCCTCCTGAACAGCCTAAATCAGCGCCAGCATCCCAGTCCCCCTCTCATATGTGCCCCTATCCTACGTGTGGAGCAGTGTCTGGGGATTGAGGCCTTTCTGCAATATTAATGTTTTTTTCTCTCCTCTTCTTGCTCTTGCTTTCTCCTTCTGCCCTCCCTGGACTCCTCTCTTTCCTCCCTGTGCTATGGCATCTCCTTTCTTCCTCTGTCCCTTGCCTTCAGAGGCATCAGGAATCCTGAAGGTCCGAGCTTTGAAGGATTTTTGGAACCTCCATGACCCAACTGCTCTCAACGTCCGAGCAGGAGATGTCATCACGGTGAGGCTGCTCTCTGCTCCCCATCCCCCTGCCCCACCATGCCCGGGGTACCAGCCCCATCCCTCTTGTCCCATGGCAGGTCCTGGAGCAGCACCCAGATGGCCGATGGAAGGGGCACATCCACGACGCTCAGAAAGGCACCGACCGGGTCGGGTACTTCCCCCCCTCCATTGCTGAGGTCATCAGCAAGAGGACAGGTCAGTGGCCATCCTGAGCACGCTGGGGACAGTCCCCTGTGCAAAACCTTCCCAGCCTTCCCAGCACCTCCTGTCAGACAGGCCCTGCAGCCCTGCCTAGCTAGGGGGGAAGGGAAGGCTCAGGGGTTGTCACCATGGTTGGAACACTCCTCTGGGGGTTGTGCTCAGTTCTCCCCCTGTCCCTGCCTCCTGCATGAGCTCTGACCACGTGTGTTTTGTCTTTGCACGCAGGCATGGTTGTGCCCCGCGTGGCACCCGCGCAGCAGCGCCAGGGTCCCCCCGGGGCCCTGCCAGCCCCCCCTGGGGGGCTGCAGCACCTCCCTGATGAGTGTCCACACCCGGCAGCCCCGAGCGGCCCAGCGGCCTTTGGTCACCTCACCCTGAGCCGGACGGCCCCAGGCCCTGACAGCTCAGGTCAGGGGAGCACCTGGGGAGGGAGAGGGGCTGGGGACCTTCCCCTGCTCCCAGCCCTGCCTGGCCAGGGGCACAGGGGGAGACTCTCCTTCCACCTCTCCATGGGGAAGCAGCCAGATGAGAGGGAGCAGGTGTAGGAAAAGGGAGTTTTGGGGAGCCCTTAGAGCAGCCCCTTCTCTCCCTGTGTCTCAGCCCTCTGTGTGTCTCTTGCCACCCGGGTCACCCTGTCTGTGTTGTACATGCTGGGAGGTGGGAGGGAACTGATGCATTGTCTGTGGCTGGAGGATCTTTGGGAGATCAGTGGCATCAGTGTGTTGGCACTGGCTCCTTGCTGGGCACCACAGTGCCCTGTGTCTGGGGAGGTGCTGATGGGCTCCCTGCTTGCCCCAGCAGCAGGAGACAGGAACAGCGTGGGCAGCGAGGGCAGCATCGGCAGCATCCGCAGCGCCGGCAGCGGCCAGAGCACCGAGGGCACCAATGGGCAGAGCACCAGCATCCTCATCGAGAATGCCAGGGTAGGCACAGCCCCTGCTCCCCTGTGCTGCTTCCCTGTGCTGGCTCAGGCTGGACATAGAGCCCCATCCCCTTCCATGCCCCCTCCTAGCAAAGGAGGGACTGCTGGAGTTGAGTATCCTACACCAAACATCTACTGGCTGCCAGGACTCAGCAGGGAGATGCTCCTGGGGACACCCTAGTTGTTCCCCAAAGCACAGCTGGCCTTTTTGAGTGGAGCTGGAGGCTGTGGTTGGCATCACACAGCATCTCCATCATGTGCTGTGTCACCTGAGAGAATAACAAAAGGCCCTGAGCCAAATCCTGCCCAGATCTTTTGCTGGGAGCCAGCCTGTTGCAGGGTGAAGCTGTGACCAGCAGCCCGGCATGGGGACCACCACTCTGCTCCTGAGGGTGTGACAAAGCTGGTCTCCAGAGTTGGGTCCTTCCTCCACTCACTCCTCCTCTCCCTCAGCCTCTGCCCTCCACCGGTGACAACCTCCAGCAACACCTTTTGGGATCAGAGCCACACAATGGGACCTCCCCAGCAGGTGAGGGCTGTCACAACTCCATGGGGCCTTGGGGACAGCTGTCCCCACAGCCCCAGGGGCTGTTCACTGTTCAAGTGCCCCTGTGACAGTTCTCCTCTCTCATTTCTGCCAGGGCCACAGGGCCTCCAGACCCCAGGCAGCTGCCCCCCTGGAGACAGGGTCTTCTCCCACCAGTTCTTGCGTCCTGAGCAGCTCCTCGAGGGGAAGGTAACTGGAACAACTGGGGAATGGTGTGCTGGGTGAGAGGGCCATGTTTGGGGCACTCAGCCCAGCTCTTATTGCACCAGAGACATGGGGAACTGGGTCTTCAGGACACAAGTGGGTCTTTCCCAGGGAGATCCTGTCATCTTGCCTGGAGCAGTCAGGTTTTTCCAGCCCCTGCAGCCACCAGTCATGGGCTGTTCTGTGTCCCATCCTCTCCCCAGGATGCAGAAGCCATTTACAACTGGCTCCGTGAGTTCCAGCTGGAGTCGTACACCCTCAACTTCATCAACGCTGGCTACGATGTCCCCACCATCAGCCGCATGACCCCGGAGGTGAGGCAGGTCCTTCCCCACCCAGAGCTGCCAGCTGTGGGTACTCCCTGCCCCCAGCTCCACTGCTGACCACGGCCCCACTCTGCTCCCCTTAGGATCTGACAGCCATCGGTGTGACCAAACCAGGCCACAGGAAAAAGATCTCTACAGAAATTGGGCAGCTCAGCATTGCTGAGTGGCTGCCCAACTACATCCCGGTGAGTCCCTGGCACTGAGGCTTTGGTCACCCCCTTCTTGAGAGCGCTCTGACCCCGGGATAGGATAGGACAGAATGGGGTCTGTAAGTGAATAGCTTTGACTGTGTTAAAGGAATCAGAGACACCCTAAAAACAGTCTCCTGGGCAGGGAGGGGATACTGAAAGTGCTGCCCATTCCTCAGTGCTCATGGCAGTGGCTCTGTGCTCTTTCCAGGCTGACCTGATGGACTGGCTCAGTGCCATTGGGTTGCCCCAGTACCACAAAAAGCTGGTGAACAACGGCTACGATTCCATCACCATCGTGACAGACCTGACATGGGAAGACCTGCAAGAGATTGGCATCAACAAGCTGGGTGAGTCCCTCCTGCCATGCTGGAGTGGCCCAGGGCAGCCAAGTTTCCCACCCAGGTCCCCACACCCCGTTCTGCCTCAGGCTGGGAGGTGCAGGCATGTCCTGAGCACTGGAAAGGGCAGTTCCTGGCTGTCCCTAAGAACTCTCCTTGGCCAGCTGGAGCTGGGCCCAGCTAGGTAGATGCCAGCAGTAGTTTGTCTCCTCCCATAGGCAGGGTTTAGATAACCCCAAGGCCTTTGCCCCATGTGTGACATAACTACTCTTCCTGGCCTGGAAACAGGCCTTGGGGGTTGGAGCTGACCCAATGTCCCTTTCCTTCCTGCAGGCCACCAGAAGAAGATCATGTTGGCTGTCAAGAAGCTCAGAGACCTCCGCAAAAGCCTCAATCAAGCAGAAGCAACTTTGGCAAGACGCAAAGTCCCCGGTTCCCTGGACATTGTCACCATTGAGTCGCTGGAAAACGGGGAGTGCCAGTCCCCACACGCGCTCAAAATGACAACCTTCCAGGACAGTGAGCTCAGCTATGAGCTCCAGACGGCCATGTCCAACAGCTGCCACGACACACTCGGCATCAAGAGCAGCCAGGGAATGTCACGGAGCCAGGAGAGCATCGGGGTGCGGTCGCGGGGCTCGGGGCACTCGCAGGACAACGTGCTGTCCCGGCGCCTCTCCAGCCCCTCGCAGGAGAGCCTGGGCAGCGGCGAGAGCAGCAGCAGCAGCGGGCAGTCCTGTGCACCCCCCCGCAGCAAGGAGAGCCCGGCCAGCCTGCCGGGCCGGCCCAGCCCCGAGCCCTACGGGAAGCTCGTGTCCCCCGAGGGGCTGAACGGCTTTGCCAATGGTGGCGGCGGGGGCAGCCCTCTCAAGGAGAGGAACCTGCCCGAAGGAACGGATCAGTACACCCGGCCTGCGGCTCAGAAAGGAGCTGGGACTCCAGCGGTCACTCCCTGTACTCCTCCCCAGACTCCCAGCAAGGGAACAGCCCCGTACGTCTTCATGTACCCACACGTCTCCCTGAAATCCCCGACGGCCCCGTCCGTCCTGGGAGCAGAGCAGCCCAAGGCCCTAGCACATCTCCCCTCCATCTCTCCTTCCCCTGCACAGAAGAGCAGCCTGCAGACGTCAGCTCAAAAAGGCTTCTCCTACCTGCACAGCCAGTGTGGCCCCACAGAGCCACCCAGCACAGCCCCCACGGCTGGGGAGCATCACAACGGAGGCGAAAGCCTGAAGCACAAGAAGCGCTCGCACAGCCTGAACCGCTACGCGCTGTCGGACGGGGAGCATGAGGAGGAGGAGGGGGCCCCCAGCAGCACCCTGGGCTCCTACGCCACGCTGACGCGGCGGCCGGGCCGCAGCCAGATGCCGCGGGCCTGTCTGCAGGCGGACGCCAAGGTGACCCGCAGCCAGTCCTTCGCCATCCGGGCCAAGCGCAAGGGGCCTCCCCCGCCGCCGCCCAAGCGCCTCAGCTCCGTGTCCAGCGCCCTCGCTGCCGAGGCAGACGGGGAGCAGCCCCCCAGCCCCGAGCGCCAGCCCACAGCCCCTCAGGACGCGGTTGACGCAGGTGCCACCCCTAGCGATGCTGGCCGTGGCAGGACAGTGAAGAGCCTGGCGGCTGCACTGGAGGGAACACCGGGTGTGAGTCCTTCCAAGCCCCTCCTGGCCCCAAAACCGCTGCACCTGACTCAGGACTGTCTCCCCCGGGCAGATGTGGGTGAGGGGTCCCACGATGGCAGTGACACCAGCGGTGCCACACTTTCCAATGGCAGCAGGGACCCCTTTGAGAGCGGCAAGCCACGGAGACGGACAGTGAGTGAGCCCAGCGCTCCTATGACAGAGGTGGCTGCACAGGGTGAGCAGGAAGATGCCTGCTCAGACACTGAGGAGGAGGCCAAGCCGGGGGTCTCCTCTTCATCGTCCCAGAACAGCTCCAGTGAGTGCATCCCCTTTGCAGAAGAAGGCAATTTAACCATCAAACAGCGGCCAAAGCCCAGCGGGCACTCCAAGGCTGACGCGGCCGTGCCGGACATGGAGCCTGGTTCCCAGCCAGCAGAGCCCCAGGGCTCCGGTGGGAAGGAGCCAGCAGCCCCCGCTGTCAGCAAGGAGCCGCCCGTGCTGGAGTTCAACCTCACCGAGTCGGACACGGTGAAGCGCCGGCCGCGCTTCAGGGAGCGGGAGCCGCTGCAGGCGGTGCTGAAGGCGTTCAGCATGGCGGGGCAGGCCGAGGCGGGGAGCACCCCCACACCCCAGTATGCCCAGGCCCAAGCCGTGAGCATCGCGAGCCCCCCCACCTCAGCACCAGCACCACAGCCCACGCTGGCTGGGGATGCCTTTGATGATGACAGTGTGGAGTTCAGGATTGCTGAGATAGAGAAAAGCATCTTGTCGCTGGAGAAAGGGATGAAGAAGGCCCCAAGTCCCACCAAAGCCCCCAGCCCCACAGAGCTGGTTGGCACAGCTGTGGTGAGGACACCCACTCCAGGTATGGGGGCTTGTGGAGCTGTCTCCAACGTGGTGGTGGGGCTTCCTCCCATGTTGGTGTGGGAGGACCTGTGCCACCACCTACCATGAGTCTCCTTCCTTTGCAGATGTCCCTGCCAAGCACACCTCCGTGGCATCCACCAAGCTCGTCTTCTCTGGACCCAAGACCATCTACCAGCAGGTCCTGCAGCCCTCCCGCCACACCGTTGCCCCCTGGGCGGCCACCGAGGCGGTGCCAGATGTGATCGGGGCCCTGCCCGGTCCTGGCTCACTGACAATGGAAACAGGCAGCAAGGTATCAGCCAAGCCTTTGGCAGCTGCCCCGGGGGCCACCCTGGCCCAGCAGCGGCTGGAGCAGACCAACTCCAGCCTGGCTGCCACGCTGCAGGCGGCCGAGAAGAAGATCACAGTGGAGGAGGCAGAGAGGTGAGGGAAATGCTGGGGCTGGGCCTCTCGAGGTGGGGTTGGAAAGGTCCCAGGGAGGGCAGGAGAAAGACTGTGCATGGGGATGTCATACCTGCACCACACAGGTCACACATGCTCAAGCCCAGCTCTGTGCTGAGCTCCTGCTGCTGTGTCAGATCCAGCCTGGCCAAACCTTCCCCATGAGCACCTGCAGCCTTTGAGCAGTGCTTTGACTCTCTCCCTCTCCTCCCCAGCCACCCTGGAACCGTGCACTCGGCCAAGAACATCTTGGAAGACATCAGCAACATGTTCGACGACCTGGCTGACCAGCTGGACGCAATGCTGGACTGAGGCTTGCTCCCTCCTTCCCCTCCCCGCCCCGGCTGCTCCAGCAGTGCCCCTCATGATGGGGGAAGAGTGGATCCAGCACCGAGCGGTGCCTGCAGCTCTCTCCAGCCGCCTCCCTCCCCACACTTCGCACTGAGGCTGGGAACGAAGCTGCCCTCCTTGCCCACCCTTGGCTCTGTGTCACATGTGACAGCGTGGCCTTGGGCCGGTTTCTGAGGGGGTCAGGCATTTCCCACCAGACTGGCAGCAGGAGGAGAGCCCAGAGGGGCTGCACATGCAGTGCTGGAGGCCACGGAGAAGCCCTTGCTCCCTTGCACAGAGCTAAGGAGCCTCCACAAGGGACCTTTCTCTTTCCCTACTGCATTGTCAGAGTCCTGCGTCTTATTATTTATCCCCTGCCAACAAAGTGTCACAGGAGAGACCTCCCCGGGCCGCCGCCAGGGAGCTGGCGATTCACTGTGCCGCCGCAGCCCTGGCCAGGCCTGACAGCAGCTAAAAGAAGACAGGGCTTGTTGCAATTTGGCAGCTTGCAGAGCGAGAAGAAACCTTTCTGCTTTATTTGCCGCTTTTCCAAACGCGTCAGCATCGGCAGCGTGGAATCCAAGTGGATGGAAATCCCTCCAGTGGGACCCACAGACCCCTCGAGATGGGGCTGGCACAGCCTGCAGAGCAGCGGATGCTCTGCCATGGCCATGCTGGATGTGTGAGCCTTCCTGCCCCTTCCCAGAGTGATGAGGATGGTAATGGCAGTGCCAAAACCCTGGGAATTTGGGCCAGTCCGTCTGGATCATGCTGCTCAGTGGAGTTTGCCCTCTGCCAACACAGTGCCTACGCAAACCCCCGCCCTGGTCCTTCCAGAGTGCAGCAGCAGCAGCATGATTAACGCTTTTAAATTCGTTTCTCCCCTCCCTTATCCCTTTTTTTTTGGGAGAAAACAGTCCCTTTTCCCAGTGCCCCTCCCTGCAGGGAGCTGCTGGCACAAACCCTGCCGCGAGCATTGTTCTACAGTAGCAGCCTTGGGACGCGATCCTTCCTTCCCGGCGGGGGAGCTGACCCCGCATGCACCGGGAATTGGGCTCGGGAGCCCGGAGCTCCCTGCAGCCGGGCGGGAGAGCGGCTGCATCGCTCCCAGACAGATTTCTCTCGCAGGATCTGCTCACTAGTGCATGGCTAAATATGTTCAAGAGCCCCGAACTTGGCTCGCGCTCGGCATGCCAAGCAAATGAAAGCATCAGAGCACCAGAAGGGAACCGAAGATTGTGCTGAAGTGCCATTTGCTACAAAAATTCCAAACAAAGGGAAAGAAAATTCCACGCATTTCCCTTTTCTTTAAAAAAAAAAATAAAAATCACCAATGCAAATCCAAACCAGAGAGGGAGAAGGAGGCTGAGAAGGCAGCTGCTTCCCAGTCCTGTTGGGAGTTTGCAGCTGGACTGGACTGTCTGCAGCCCCTTGTGCTGTTGGATGGAAGGGGGGCAAAGCCCACCTGAGCATTCCTGAGGGTCTCTGCTCCTGAGGGCAGCTATGCCAGGCAAGAGGTGCCAGCCTGGTTTCTGGGCTGAAAAGCAAAGACAATAAGCCCCAAAAAAACGTAAAATCCCATTGTTGTTTGGGACTTGAGGTCAGTGTGAGGCAGGTAAGACACTTCTTCCCTGGCTCTGATTTCTGTCCCACACTGAGTGCATCCACTGCCTGTGTCTGAGTGCCACATTATGGACATGATGATTTCAAATAGCTACAACCAGTGGCACTTTATAAAGAGGTTCACAGAAACCTTTTAAAACTGATTTTTACTCTCACGAGTCAACTTGGGACAAGCCCAGTTGGTTTTTTTTTTCCAATGTTGATAAACTGTAAATGTTTTTTTTTAAAGGCCAATGTATATATTTTAAATGTGATTTATTCTATATATTTACTAACCAGAACTGCAAGTCTTGGGTCAGGGATAAGAGGACACTGGGGTGGAGCTGCCGCTGTCTGAGCCACCTGAGGGCAGCACAACGCTGCTCTCATTGTCAATAAGGGAACTAAACATTTGATTTTGCAGAAGAATGCCTATTTTTTGAGCTCTAGATCTCTATTTTGAAGCTACTGTATGGTGTGTAAGTTATGTACACTGCACTGGGACTAACTGACCCCAGCTGCACCTGCTCCGTGCAGCGAGACAGTGAGGGGAAAAAATAGCCCATGTAATCACCAGACTGACAACAGATTTTAAACCATCTGCTCTGTTTGTGTTAATCATGTGTTTTGTTTTCCACTAACATCCATTAAGACTAAATTCTATTAAACAGTGGGGCATATTTTACCCTTTTTATAGTTTTGCCTAGTTGTTTGCTTTGTGTGAAATGGGACAAACTTGTCTCCTGCTGCGTGAAGTCCATTGAAGATCAGCTTTATTCTGTCCCCTGAGTGCTCCAGGTTCCTCAGATATTCTCCCCTGGTGAGTCCCAGTCATGCCCAGTGGGGTTAATGTTCAGTGTGAGTCTCACTATCACGACAGTAACATGGTGACAGCGCTGGTGTCCCAGTGTCCCAGTGCCCAGCTCTGCCCATGTGCCACCTCCACCATCCCCATGTGCCAGGCACTGCTCAGAGTGTGGCCACTGTCACCCCAGTGCCTTTTCCAGCTGCCCCCAATCTCTCACCCACCCAGAGGGATTCACACTGTGCCTCCAGCCTCGACTGAAGCAGTGCCTGGGATCCAGGAAACCAAACTTTGTAGGAAGAGGCTTTCAGAGATGGACAGATTTGCCCAAAGCTGAGCAGAAACTGGGAAAAAGGCCAGAACTGGATCCCAGGAGCATCAAGCTCTGGCTGTGTCCCTAAAACAGGAAAATCACACCCTGTGACCCCAGCAGCCACAGACATTTTTACCTCCTTCCTTTGCTGGGTGCAAACTCGTTCCCAACTCTTGGGTGTGTTATCCAAGACAATCATTTATTGCCATTCATATACTGGATGCTTGTGGGTCTGGGTTTGTTTCTTTTTTTTTTTCCTTTTTTATACAATTTACAAGTTTTAATACAAATGAAATATTTTTACATACATCCCAAAAAATTTAATATAAAATATACAGCATTTAAAAACATCTTGATGTAGGAAATTTCCTTCTGAAGCCATGCACTCTGACCCTTAGACACTTCAATGGCTGAGGGAAGGGTGGCACTGGCAAGACCATCCTAAAGGCTCCATTCATACACTTTAGCTCCCTCCAATCTAGCTGGGGAAGGAGGATGCAGGAAAATAAACATTTGTGATCACCCAGAGGAGGAAATCTTGAAGGTGCCTTCTCTAGAGGAAGGTGTGGCCAGCAGGAAGCCCTGGAATCTGCTGCTTTTCAACACCCACAGCAGTTCATGGCACAGGACAAGAGCTGAGGTGTGGGTGGGGGCACAGCTGGGACAGCAGCGAGCAGCTCTGTGCTGCTCTGACCCCAGCTCAGCTTGGCCACAGAGATCATACCCCACTTGTGATCCCACCCTGGCATGGGGAAGGAAAGCTGATTTCTCAGGGGCCAGGTGTCACAGATCTGGAGCTGGCATTCAGTGAATTGAGGCTGAGAAAGGTGCAGCTTGTTCTCCCTGAGCCCTGCAGGTGCCAGGGCAGTGAGGGCACAGTCCAGCCTGGCTGGCAAAGGTGGGCAGACACTGCTATGGTGCAGGGGAGGAGCCCTGAGAGCCCTGTGCTTCCCCAGGGCGCTGCTGCCTCCCTGTCCTGTGCCATCCTGCCAGCATGGCATCTCTACATCCACCCGCAGCTGCAGGAACCGGGTCCCGGGCTTGGAACAGCCCCAGCTGCCCCTCCAGCACCCTCAGTGTGTCCCCAGAGCTCAGGGCTTGGCTGTACCCAGCTCTGCTCCTCTGCCAGCCCCACAGCAGGGTGAGGGTATTGCTTAGAGACACTCAGCCATGTCTGTGCTCTCTGGTTATGCTGAAAAGTGAGGAAGACAAGGTGGAGCAGCAGGGCAGAGCTTGGGGGTTCCAGCCAGCTCCCTGCCTGCCCAGGAGGGATCAGCTCCCACTTGGTAATCTCAGGTACCAAAGAGGAAGTAACAGCCAAATACTGTAGTGTTAAATGTTGGGGCCAAAACCAGGGCCAGGATTTACCAGCTTTAGTCAGTGTTTAGAATTAGAGTCAGTGTCTCCATGACCTGCAAATATTCTGGGAGCCAAGCCTGTGTGCTCCTGTGTGGGCCTTGGCTGTCAGCCCACAGCAGGACCAGTGCTCCCAGTACAGATGGGGTCTGGTCAGAGCTCAGGAGCTTGTGTGCTGCACTGGGGCAGATCAGGGTTTGGCAGAGCCCTCAGGGGAGGGTCCCTCCAGGCAAACGAAGAGACCTCCAGAAAAACACTGAGCAGATGTTGCCCAGGGAGGCTGTGGCTGCCCCATCCCTGGAACTGTTACAGGTCAGGCTGGACAGGGCTTGGAGCACCCTGGGATAGAGGAAGGTGTCCCTGCCCATGGCAGGGTGCCCATGGCAGGGGGTGGAACAAGATAAAGCTTTAAGGCCCCTTCCAACCCAAAGCATTCTGTGGTTCTGTGTGAAGCCATCAGCACAGAGGGGAGAGACTTCCCAGCACTATCACAGACAGACATGATTGGGCGGGGTTCCCTGTGCCTTGGGGAGCCAGAACTGGATGCAGCACAATCCAGGGATTGGAAAAGGAGCCATTCACCAGCTCTGTATTAGTCACAACTGCAAGTTGCAGATATCCTGCCTGGAAAGACATCCCCTCCCTCTAAGGCAGGACAGTCAGGGCTCAGGCTTTATCTCGAGCTGTGCTTGTCTCAAGCAGGCACATTACTGAAGCAGAACAGCAGCTCGGATCACAAACAGGAGAAGAGCTACAAAACCTCTCTGGGGGCTGTTAAAGAACATAAAAGCTGGTTCAAGAGGGCTGCAGGAAGCTGAGCCGTGCTGGCTCCCCGCAGGCAGGCAGAGCTGCCCTCCCTCGGCACCGGATCACAGGCGGCTGTGCCCAAAGCCCTGCCTCATCCCGCTGCCGACACAGCCAGCACACGGCCGTGACAGCGACACTAGAGGGCAGGGCTGGCCTGTTCCCACTGTCCCCTCGGGAATGAGAGCTCCCAGCACTCGGGACTGCAAGAGGGAAGGCTCCTTTGCCCCGGACACAGCGCAGGGAGGTGGGAGGGCATGCACAGGCATGCACACACGGAGAACGGGCTGAAGTGAAAAACCAAAACGGGATTCAATAGAGATCTCCTGCTTCAGCAGCCCTACTGGTGCCAGATTCTCCTGCCAGGCCCAGGAAACCCATCTGCTCACAAAGAGGAAAGGAGCCACTTCATTTTAGCATCGCCATGATACTAACAAATACCTCCAGTAATAAATAAATAAAGGAAGAGCAGCCTGAACAGGCACCAGAGCTTGCAGGTTCCTGTGAGGGTACCTGGTAGGCTGGGAGGGGGCTGCATACCTGTGGGGGGATCCCTGCCTGGGCCCTGGGAAGGTGCAGGTGTAGTTTTGCCAGGAGGCTGTCTGGTTTGCATGTGTGATGGAAAATTCCCTGAGCCTTTGGTGCAGCCACTCTCCCAGTGGCTGTTTGGCCCTGGCCCCAGGGAACTTGAGCTGGGTGTTTTTAAAATGGCGAATTCATCCCCAACTTGGTTTCAAACTGCAACTTCTGCCTCTTTTGGTAACGGACACGGACCCTGGAGAAGAAGAAAGAAGACTGTCAGTATGCAGAGGGGTGAAAGGTAAAACTGTTCCACTGCCATTCCTGAGCTGCTAGCCCCAAGAAGCAGGGAAGCCCCTGGCCTGGGCCCTGTGGTAGCCTGGGAGGGGAATCAAATCCAGAGAGCAACCCATGGTCTCAGTCCCACCCCATGCAGCTGAATCCCATCTCCAGGAACACCAGACACAGCACAGAAAGGTCCAGAAACCCTTTGCAGGAACTGAGATGGTGTCTCCATCCCCATCAGGGTTCCCTGTAATCCCTGCTTTTCCGCCCCAGCCCATTTCCTGAATCAATGTTCATCAGTGTTGACTCCAGCCCTGGCTGCTCCCTGTGCTGGGAAGAACAGCCAGTCACTGCCTGCTACTCATTCTTGGCTTCAGCCACTTCCCCTGCAAACCAGTCCCACAGTCCAGGCTCTGTGTGGAGGCACATTTCCTCTGCTGTGATTCAATGCCTCTCTGTCCTCATGGGACAAGATGGAGCGAGCAGCCCTCCCCAGTTCCACACTGGTGTTGGATAGACCTTGGCTGTCTCCCTCCCTTTGGTCTGAGATAAGGAAATTTTGTTCTCCCTTCCTGCTCCCAATCACTGCCACTGCACTTCTGTGACCCTCCTTCCTCCCCTGGGGTTCCTCCCTGGGAGGTGGAGCGTGGGCCTGCACACAACAGCCAGGTGATTTACACAATGCAGTCAGCTTTTCCTTTTTGGTCCCCACCCTGTTCCCTGGGCATCATTATTTTTTGCAGCTCAAGGCCAGGCTGGAGGGAAGCTTCAGCACTTTCTCCTCATCCTCCCTACAACCCCCATACCTGATTTCATGCAGCTTGACAATCTCATTGATGATAACCACAAGGACCAAGGAAAGAAAACCCAGGAGCCACGCGACCGGAGAGATGGAGACGTGGCTAAAGGTCAAAGAAGAGTTGAGGTTTTCCCAGAGTTTCAGGTCCAGCACAGTCTGTGCCACTTGCCCCAGCACTCTAAAATTAAGAACAGACACAGCAAATCTCAGCACACCTGACAAGATTCCCAGGATCTGCAGAGCAGGATTCAGGCCCTGATGAAATGCTCACACCAGAGACCCTTCACCAGTTCAGCAGTGGAGATCAAATGCCATGTACTTGATTCTCCTCAGCACCAAGAAACTGGTGCTGAAGTGGGCCTGGAGCCCCTTCCCAGGGGCTGTGGGTACTCACACAACAGCCACAGTGAGCGTCCACCAGCGGTTGGACAGGGGGCTCTTCTTCCACAGGGGCTTGGTGCGATGCACGTGGGTGATGGATATGAACACTGCAGACAAAAGGGGATTATCCAGCATCACACACAGGTACAGCACTTCACAGGGTACATCAACACCTGCTACTTCTAAGGGATATGGGGCTCATGTCCCTGGAACCAGCTGATCATGTGGGGCTCTCTCAGAGCAGGCTCCTCACAGCAATTCCAAGCCCCTGGAATGCACTGGGGCAGTGCAGTTGTACTGCACACCACTGCTCGCTGGGAGGTTGGTTCACAGCCTGGGAGCTGAAACAGAGCAGGCAAAGGTCTCGGGAGTGGGACAGGGGTGGGTGTGCCCTTGTTCCAGGGCTGCAACAGAGGAAAGCTCCAGCCCAGAGGGAGATTTAGCCAGAGAGCCAGGGCTGTCTGTACAGGACCCAGTATTGGCTCAGCTGCCAGGCAAAGCATCCCTGCCTTGCCTTGGTGGTCTGAGGGACACAAAAGCACAGCAACCCACTCTCTCCAAAGATGGAGATCCAATCAGGAAGCATTTCTGTTGGACTGGACACCTGCACATGTCAACACACAGTGCTCAGCCCAGCACCGTGGGACACAAGGGACAGTGAACTGAGACCCTCCAGGACCCACCCTGCCAGGCAATGGGTGCAGGTGATGAGGGTCAGCCAGAAGCTGGCCCCACACCCCTCCAGAGGGTTTAAAAAGGCTTCCAGCTCCCAAACAGTCACAGCTGCATCAGTCCCCTTTGTGGGAAGGCAGTGGGTTATTTCACAGAACAGCCACAGGGATATAAACATTTTTGAAGGAGGGAATATTTTTGGAGAGCTTCCCGTGCTGGTACTAACTTTCCAGAAGGCAAAAGGGATGAGACTGGACAGAACCAACGCTTCACCAGACTGGTAGGAAGCAGAATCATGAGGCTGATGAGGGTGTTGTCTTCAATCTGCCAGGGTAATGTTTAGTGAGACAGGGGGATCTGTGCCTGTGCTGTGAGGCCACTGCAGTGTCTGCTTCTATCAGGGAGTTTGTGCTCTGGCATAGGGGGCAAAGAAAGAGACAGAGGATGCAAGCTTTCCCCCAGAGCAGAGAATGGGGTTCTGGACTTACCTGTGTGCAAAACAATCAGGCCAGCTGTGAGCTTCTGGGCTACCAGGAGAGCATTGGAAAATGTCCCAAACCAGTCAGGAGCACCATAAGCATTGCTAGTGAATGAGAGGACACAGGAGAGTCAACAGTGGGCACTTAACTGACCTGTTCCCACCAGGAACTGTCCTCCTTCAACAGCTGAGCAATCTGTGGGTGAGCTCAGGCTGTCCTGGTGGTGACAAGGAGGTGACAGGGGCAGTGATGTAGCTGTCAAGGCTACAGCCCTGGTGGGTCATGGAAGAGGCTGAAGCTTGTTAGAGGACTGGAATCAGTCCTCCCTGGAAAGGGCAGGAGCAGTGGGGATGTGTGGCAGGCCCAGTTCCTCACCTGTGCAGCATGATGGAGGAGCAGGCTGTGAGGTTGAGGCTGGTTGTGTTCACCCCTTTGCAGGACTCGTGCAGGGTGAACCCAAAGCAGATGAGGCAGGAGCAGATGGTCAGGCTGAACTTCAGCAGGAAGCAGAGCAGGAAGTAGTGCTGAGTCTGGAAAAGGGAAAGGAAGGAGGATGACATTGGCATGTCACTGGTACAACCTCCTCCCCATGACCATCAGAGGCTGCAAAAGACAAGCTGCAGTGCAGATGAGATGCTGCACTGAGGATCTGCCTCAGGCATGCTGGAACAGGAAATTCCCTCCCTGGCTCCTGCCAGGGATCAATTCACTGAACAAGCTAGGAAGCAGTGTCACAAACACATTTTATGAAAAATTCTTTCCTTAGGGTTTTTTCTCCTGAGAAGCCAAGAGGCCTCAGAAACAAAATGTAAACAATGGTTATCTGCTGCTGTGGAATGCAACAGGTGGATCCATGGTTGGTCCATGTTGATTGTTTCTAATTAATGGCCAATCACAGCCCAGCTGTCTCGGACTCTCTGACAGACACAAGCTTTTGTTATTTATTCCATTCTCTCCTTTCCTTGCAAGCCTTCTGATGAAATCCTTTCTTCTATCCTTTTAGTATAGTTTTAATATAATATATATCTGTATATTATATTAAAACTATTTATGTTATATATATATTATTTTTATATATATTATATAGTTATATATATTATATAGTTATATATAATATATATTATACAGTTATATTATATTATATTATATTATATTATATTATATTATATTAATTATATATATATATATATATATATATGTATATATATAAAATAATAAACCAGCCTTCTAAAACATGGAGTCAGACCCTGGTCTCTTCCCTCATCCTGGGACCCCTGTGAACACCACCACAGCACAGGGCCTCAGCTATGGCCTCCCACCAACACTGGGCCAAAACTGAAGAGAAAAATATGTGGACAATTTAAATCTGAGGGGCCACCTACCTTCTTGGGAATGGAAGTCAAGTTTTTTCCTGTTGCCATGGTCATGATGGAGCTGTGGGGAGGCTTGCCCAGGAGTGAGATACTGGAGAAAGGTAAGTTAAGTGTCTCAGTAATGTGTTCAGGCACCAGAGGTATTATGCTTTTATCTAACATTTGAACCCAAATAACCTACTCAGACTGCTTGAAGCATTGGCACTTATCTTTACATATGCTGTAAAAGGTGTTATTGATGGCAGGTAGAGACAGAGAGAGAAGTGAGAAAAAAACCACCTGTGGTACCTTGGCCTCTACCCGACACCCCAGACCTTCCATCACACCAGGCAGGGCTGAACACAGCAGCACACAAATGCTCCTGTCACTGTTTCCAAGCACTTTATCAAAGCAGGTGCCTGGGATAATCCCTGCACCCTTCTCAGCATGCTGTGGGTGAAGTCAGCTTTCTCTCAGCATGGACACACTGAGGCTGAGGGAGGCTCTGTGCACCCTGGGGGGAGTGGGAGGAGATTCACCTGGCAGACTCACCTGAGCAGTGGGTAGCAGAAACAGGAGAGCCACACGATGTCTGTGGTACTGAGGATGGGGGGCAGCTGCACCAGGCAGGAGAGGAACTGGACAGAAACAACCCAGAGTGAAGAGCATGAGCAGTGCTAGGACAGACTTGTCACCCAAAATGCTGCTGCCTTCCCTGAAACACTGGGGTGAACTGGTCACTGGGCTGCCACTGCACAGCCCCTCCATAAGTTCCTGTGGCAGGAGCTGCAGGGGATGCTTTTCTCCAGGGAAAAAGGATTTGAAGGTAAATGTACGAGGATCAGGGAGAAGGGGCAGCACAGGCTGAGATCACCAAGCCTCCATCTGTGACTTCCCCACACACACTGTGCAAACCTGACTGAAGGCCACGTTCCTCCCTCGAGGCTGTCCCACTGCAGCCACCCAATTCCAAGTGAGCCCCCTGTCCTCTGAGCTAAACTCTGTCTGCAACTGAGTAATTAAATGGAAGATTTAACTCAAGACCTTTTTCTGTTATTTCCTGTAGCAATTTAGCCGAAAGTGCACACTTCTCTTCACATAGGCAAATGGCATTGATTTGAACTTGGCCAAAACACAGATACCACTAACCAATGTCTCTTGCACAGGTACAGGGCAGAAATAAAAATAAATTAGTGGCACATTTAATACATTCAGATGATTAAAAAATGGAAATCACCAACATTAGCAAGTGAAAGAATGAGCAATCAGAGCCCTAAACAATCAGCAGCAGCACTAAAGGCAGCCCCCCAGCTCCAAAAAGCTGCTTGTGGATGCATTAGCTCTCTCTGCCTTACTGAAATGAGCCCCCTGTGAGCCCCCTGTCCTCTGAGCTAAACACTGTCCCCAGCCAGGCCAGGACTCACCTGAATGACAACCAAGGTCAGCTGGCACTGCAGCAGGAAGAGGAAACACTTGCGGATGCCATAGGTTGCGTGCCTGGCCTGGAAGGAAGCACAAGCCCTCAGAGCCCTGCTGGGAGCAGCTCCAGCCAGGAGCAGTCACTGCAGGCAGGGACAGGACATGTGGCCTGCAGGGGAAGTGGGAGGGGACAGCATCTGGACACTCTGAAAGCAAAGAGGGACGGTCTCCTGCCCACATGGAGAGGTTCTGAAGGAAAGGCAGGATTTAGCCAAGGGGTAAATTTGTTTAAACTCCCGGCTTTTCTGGGGTTTTGCTTCTCCTTAACACTGCATTGTTGCCTGGCTAGGGATCTCTGCAAGATTATACTTCATCCAGATGAACAATATTCATGTTCTATTGCCATAAGGCACCATTTCCAATCCATTCCCTACACCTTGGACCAGGAGGGCCAGGCAGGAAGATTCTCCCTCTTGTGCTTCCTGGACAAAGGCCAGGAGTGTCACCCTGTTCTTCTAAGCCTTCTGATTTTTACATTTTTGTAAGGGAATTTCTCACACACTTTTCATGTAAATAATGATTGTTTGGAATTCCTTTCTGTAGGAGGAGAAATTTGATGGACTGTTGGTTTGACAAGTGTGGCTAGAGAGGTGGCAACTTCATCCTCCAATCTATGGTCACTTTTGAAAGTCTGTAAATACTGGAGTTCAGAAATAAACTACACTCTTTTTACCTTGGACATTCCAGCTTGTGTGTGTCACTCATTTCGTGTCCTATTGTGACACAGGGGACACAAGCCAAGCTCCTGCTGGCAGCACTGTGGGCACCTGGAGCACGATGCCAGTGTGAGCTCCTGGCTCTGGGGATTGCTGGGCTCACCTGCTCTATGAGCCTGATGATGCTGGTGCTCTCCTCCTGGCGGAAGGACATGGAGCAGGGCAGGCTGTTGAGCTGCCCTGAGAGCTGCAGAGGGGTCAGCTCCTCAGAGCCATCGCTCAGGGTGGTGCTGGTGGCATAGCCAAAGGTCTCCCAGGAGCAGCGGGATGGGTACAGAGGGTCCAGGGCTATACTGCAAGGACAACACAGGGCTTGGTGAAAGGCCTCATCCCAGCAAGGAAACTGTCTCACTGCAGGCCAGCTTGGAAGGTCACTGTGCTGTGCCATGCTCTGTATACCTTGCTCAGGTAGAGAAGCCTGAGCTAGAACATGAAATTAGGACCAAACTCCCCAGAGTTCATTTATTCACAGAGAAATAATGAACATATTTGGGTTTGTGGCACAAGGTCAATTGGCTGATCCATGGGGTACTTTCACCCAATGGAAAGGATCTGTAATGGCAGTTGGGGCACAACAGTCCAGCATGTAAGAGACTTTCTTCCTTTAGGACATGGAAATACCTCTGTGTGTCAAGGGCCTTAAACAGACACCCCCATCCAATCCCCACAAATCTCCCTCGTGGAGACAAAATGGACAGAGCAATTGTGAGCACCTCCCTGCACAGCCCACAGATGGTGTGACCCATGGCTGGGTACTTGCTATGATGGGGGCAAAGGCAGCTGCAGGAGGAACAGAGCCTGCCCCACCTGATGTCACTCTGCAGGAAGAGGCAGCTGTTCCGAAGGTTGGCAGAGCTGCCCAGGCAGCAGGTCACCTCCCCATACTCCTGCATGATCTTGATCATCTCACACATGGCTGCAGAGGGACAGAAGGAGCAATAGTGTGTTATGTCACTGTGCACACAGAAATGCAGTGTTTCACACTCTTTCCAATCTGGATAACAAACAGATCCTTTAAAGCTGCTCCATCTGATACTCATCACTGTGTACACTGAGATCCACAGTCAAAGCACACAATTAGAAAGTTAATTTACTGCAGACCAGGTGCTCTATCCACCTGCCACTGCAGGAATTCTCTGTGGTTCACAGAACTATGACCCAGAGGTTTGCATCTCCAGCACACCTCCTTCAGACCAGAGCTGTAGCCTGGGTGCATAATACAGCTTCAGCATCAAATGCTCTTGTTAGAAAACAGCAGAAATGAAATAAACCTAAATAATTCAAACTGAAAATAAATACAGTGCTTCAAACCCAGCAGCACATCACTAGTGTTGCTGCAAGTCTAAAGGAAGGGAGGGAATGTAACAAACCACTCCAAAGGCAGAGCCACATGTAGCCATACTCAGAGCCAGCCCCTGTTCCTGCACTCCCACCACCACCACCTCTACCCTTTATCAATGTTTACTGACATCCCTGGGGCCTCTTAATCAAAGCTGCTGTTTGATTTGATTTTAGTTCTGTAGCTCCATGCACAGTGCTCTGTGTATACATGGATTTTCCAGAATGCTCCAGGCAAAACCCCCCAAACCTCCCCTCTGCAGTCTCCCTTGTAAACACCTTCACTAAATGCCTGCTGCACAAAGACTGCAGCACACTGAGGGGTTGGGTCAAGAGGGGAGCTGCCACTTCTGCCAGAGAGAGGAAATTTGGGCACTAAGAGTGAAGGCAGATTGGACTGTGATTGACATGCTGGAAACTGTGACCAGAGGTACTGAAATGGCAAATCATAATGATGCTCCACACTCACTGGAGATTTGGCAGTTATTTGCCAGTTGAGCACTCAGCCCCTTTCTTTAAGTAATACCTCAGAGAGAGAGAGAGAGAGATTTTGTCCTTTCTGTTTCCTGCAATCAAAAACTGCAAAGCAGCAGAAGGTGTTAACAGCAGCAAGTGCCAGGGGAACGTTCTTCTGGGAAGTGATTTCCAAGTTATAGAAGAGTTGTGAGCAGAGATCAAATTCTCCTGGTACACTGATAACACTTATTTAATGAAAGGCAGTAGCATTTTGGATGTTTGCTTTTGTATCTCTTATGAATGCAAATTGAAAGGGTTCTCAGCCCAATTCAGCAGCTGGACAACAGCTGCACTAAAATTCAGTTAACACCTGGCTCCCCACAGGTAGCAACAGAGGGTAATTGTTGGGAATTTAGCTGCTAGAGACTGGAAAAGTACAAAGCCGTGGCTAATTCCAAGTCCTGCACCTGTGTTGATAGTGCGTCCTTGGGCCTAGCTGTAGTAGGATAACAAACAGTGAAAGAGACATGAGAAAAGAGAGATGTAACCCCTAAGGAATGAGGAAGAGTTCATGGTATAGTTTAACCAGTAGATTGCTTGGCTTACAGAATATTCATAAGCTTATTATTTGCTGTATAAGTGTTTGATGCTTTCTTCAATAAACTAGACCTGTGATGAACCACCTGGTGTCCGGGTCCCCTTCCTACCACAGGTAATTAATATCAATAAGTCCTTCTAAATTTCTGGAATGTATCCCCTTCCCTTCCATGTCCACACTTGGATGAGCCAGACCAAGGAACTGGGGAAGGAATTCATGAACAGGAGTAGGAAAGGGCACTCTGTTGGGATTTTAGCTGACTAGAGACTGGAAAAGTACAAGGCCATGGCTAATTCCAAGTCCTGCACCTGCTAGATAGCGTGTCCTTGGGCCTAGCTGGAGTATGATAAATAATGAAAGAGACATGAGAAAAGAGAGATGTAACCCCTAGAGAATAGAAAAGAACTAGTGTTGTGGTGTGGCCAATGGACAGTGTAAATTGCAGAATATTCATGAGCTTATTACTTGCTGTACAAGTGTCTGATGCTCTCCTCAATAAACGGAACTTGCTGATGACTCACATCGAGCCCCGAGTTTTCCCTGCACCCAACAAATGGCTCATCCCCGACAAACAGCTCATTCTGCAACAGCACTCACTCTCTGGGGTGCAGTCTGTGAACAGGGGCACCAGCAAAGGCACGTTGTCAATGTTCTGGAGGTGAGGTCTCACCTGGTGGATCCCCCGGGGGAGTTTGGCCTGAAAAAGAGAAAGGACAGATAAAGCAGGGAGTGTGAGAGAGAGGCATTTCAGAAGGCACTGCTGAAATGAGAATGATGATTCCTAGAATTTTTTAACTTCAAGATCAGATACAAAATCATGTTCCAGCAGATAGAGCTGGCTTTCCCAAGGCACTGCCTGAAGTTTTCTGATAAAGTTCTACACTGACCTGCCAAGCTGCCTGTGCTTGCCCTCAGGGTTTGTAAGGTCAGTGTGACAAACCTGTGCTCAAGGATTCCTGAGGACTTTTTGCCTGTGTGGAGAATCTAGTCAGACACATCTGCTGTCTTCTAGCAACTGCACCTATTTCAACTGCAGCCACATCAGCCTGCAGCAAGGCAAGAAGGGTTCTTGCCTTCTAAAACCAGGCCTAAGAGATTTTTTTTTATCTGTATCTCTGATATTCCTGTAATCTCTGCTGAGCACGTGTGAGGTCCTTCTGAAGCAGGAAGGGCTTGTCTCACACTCTGACCACTGGGCAGCACCAGTCTGTGGCTCACAGCTGGAGGAGAGAGGGTTTCTTCTGCCTGCGTGGAAAGTGGGGATGTTCCCACTCCCTGCCCAGCCCATGAGACCCAGGGGAACTGAGACCCAGCTCTCAAGGTTACCCCATGTTTGCTAACCCCCATTCCTAAACTCCTAAGCAAAGAGCTGTTCAGCAAAAGTAACTAACTGAGAGAATCCCAAATTTCCCAGGCTCTAGATACCAAGCTGGAAGAGAGAAATCAGGGGTCCCAATGGAAACCAATCTCCTCTGAAAAGGAATTTCCTCTGGGAGTACTGAGGTGACACTCCTGCCCATGACAACAGCAGAAGGTGCACAGGGAGAGGGGCCCTCACCCTGTTGCAGTCCTCCAGGAAGCTGGGGATATCACTGTCTGTTGGCTGGAAGCTGATGAGATCCGAGTGCCCTTCCTCCTCCATCAGCAGAAGCCCCTCCACATCATCTCGGGAAACTGGAGCAGAGAGGAGCAGCATAAACAACAACCCCAAACCTGCCTGTGCCACCCCTGTGCCACCCACCCACGTGGGACATGCACGTGGCACTGCAGAAGCCAGGAAACGTGAAGCCTGATTTTCTGGGTTAGCAACACTCAGATCTCCCACTCAGTCATACAAAATGCGGTATTTTTAGATGACTAATCTGTTCAGAGGTAGATATGTGAGCCTAGTCTCTGCTCTTTTGAGACATGATACTTTATCTGTTCTGCTGTCCTTCAGGGGGAGAGAATAAAGAAATCCCAGCTGAAGTAAGAAAAGAAAAGAGTAATGGACAGGCAAGTGACCTTCAGTGGTTTGACCAGGGCCCCAGCAAAAACCAGAAGCACTCATGAACACATAAATTCATGGCAGCTGGTGCATAGAAGGATATGTCTTTCCAAAAACTTGGTACTGGCAAGCTAGAAAGGTTATAAATGCAAAGTGATTGTTGCTTACACACATGCACCTGAGGCCCATCCAGTTTTGTGCTCAAATCTCCTACAGATCAAGTGTCTGGTGTGGACACAGGAACCTATGAATGGGTTTAGAAGAAGCACCCAGGAAACAGATGGCATTCAGAGTGGCCAAGGCACAGTTCTCACCCTGATGGAGGTCATCGTGCAGGGAGCCAGCATGGCTGGGGCTGGATGGGGGGATCTCTGAGCCAGGCACATCACCATTGGGTGTCAAGGATATGTGACAATTCCAGCCAGTCTCCAGACCCATTTTCTCAGCAAACACCTGTGGGTGAGCAGACAAACGGTTTTAGAGTGGCTGCCCAGGCCAGAGCACTGCAGACTGATGCCATACTGAGCACAGGCCCCTTCTGGACTCATTAGTGGGCTGAATCAGATTAACCTTACATTACACTGGAGCTAAACTCTCCAGTCAGACAAGCAGGGGCCATGCAAGGTCAAGGGGTTCAGCAAAGACAGCTTACCTTGCTTTTGAGCTCATCTTCCAGGGAGAAGTAGACAAAACGAATGCAGGCATTGACCAATCCATCAATGAGGCGGACAATGTCAAGGCGGGCCTGATACTGAGATGAGACCATTCCCATGAAGATCTGTCCACTCAGAGCCTGGATACAGTCTTCCTTCTCCATCACTTCCCCAATCCCTTCTTCAGGCATGCAATCCCATTGAGACACGGGGGCCACGTGTGCATCACACAAAGGCCACGTGGTGGGGAGGCCACCAAGGTGACACCAAGGACACGGTATCCAGACACAGAAATGTGCAGGAATACAAACACAGGAGGGAAGATGGGGAGACATCCATTTGTCCCAGCATACCCAGTCACAGAAGTGGTTTCAGGACATCCCCACACAGGAGACCAAGAACACAAGTGGGAAACAGCAAGCATGAAAAGGAAAAAGATAAAACAGAAGACAGGGATCAGTTACAAGGAATTTGGGTAGAAAGGTCAAGGATGTGTGCTTCATAATGTTCACATTGGCATTTTAAACACATCCTACTGTGCCTAAACAACATGATAAGTCTAGCTGAGGCACAGTGGCATCAGAGCACGAGGGGCTGATGCAAAGGAACTGAATCATGTTCCCTGCAAACACTTCCAAAAAGCCTGCAAAGGCTCTTTGACAGGGTTCCTTCATTATCACCAGAAGCCAGTGGTGAATGGGGGCTGGATGCAGCATGAAGAACAAAGTAATAAAACACTTCACATAGTTGCAAGGCTTGCCACAGGTGGAACGCAAAATTATTCTGAAAACAGTCACAACTGTTCCTAGCTGTTGGAAACCCCACTGGTCACATTTTACAGAATGTGAGACCAAGGCAGAAAGAGTTTAAGACTGGTTTTCCAAAAGAGCCTCCTGGATTTATGTAATGGCATGTGCTTCCTTCTCAGTTTCCATTGCTGTTCTGAAGGACTTGTACATGTCATGTTCATCTAGTGGGAATCAGTTCCTTCAGTACAGCAACAAAATCTATCAAGGAATAATAGTTGCATAGCACTATACATTTCAATCCTTTGAAAAGCCCATCCCATGTGATTTCCATAAAATCAGACAAATAGCAAAACAAGTACTGAAATACCCAGAAGTCTTGACTCTCTGCAGCCCACTTTAGAAACAGACTTCCCACAAGGAGAAGAATTTCTCTGTAAGCTTCAATAACTTAACTAGAAATACCCCTACCAGCTGCCACGTCATTACTTCCTCCGAAAACCCATCTACGTCAGAAACCCTTCCTTCCAAATTTCCATCTGCTACACTGAACAACAATGTTCTCACAGCTCTGGGCTGGTCAGGTGCAGCAGCAGAGGCACACGTACCATCTGAGCTCCAGCTGTTCCTGCGGCTGCTCTGTTTGATGGGGGTGGTGCCGGGGAGGTCGCAGCAGGTGAAGATCGCGCTCTGCCCCGGCACCTGCACCAGCTCGATGCACTTCCCATTGAGCTGGGAGGACAGGGCACAGTGCATGGGCTTGTAGGCAAAGGCAGAGCAGTATCCTGACAGGCAGGCTCGCTGGTAGAAATCCAGCACCTTCTTCCTGTGTGGAAGAGGGAGAAAAACAGGCAAAGTTAGCAAAAATGTGCCACGTTTCTGATAATACAGAAATGCTGTACTTCCGTGTATTTGGAAAAATGTCTTCCATTTCCAAAAGTCTGAAGAAGCCTTTCCCTAGTGCTTCTGCATTCTCCAAGCTGCAGGCACTGCAGGGCAACAAGAACACATATTCCAGCAGGGATAGTGGTAAATGTTTTTGTTTGCTCATCAGATTGATGGGTATGAACACAGAGTTCTTCAAATATATTTATTAATATAATATGCTCTATATGGCTGCCAGATTACTCCAAGAAAGTTCATTGCATGACAGCAGAAGCTTAATTCATCTAGGGAGATAAACACCAAAGAGGGAACTGACAACTCTGACAACAGGATCTATGGCAGAGATGGTTGCAGGAGCAGACTTTTCTCCTATCCCCTTTCAGAGTATGGGGTCCCAAGAGCTGTATTAAGTCAATATTCAGTCACTGAAATATGGTAAAGTTCCTTCTCTAAGCTGAATTCACAAAGGTAAGAAATTAGACTATACATCAGATTTTTAATTTGCTTGTAACATGATCAATATTCCAAAAAGGATAAGTGCCAGTTTTTTCACACCTGAGGATATGCAGATTTAGAAGAACAATGTGAAAAGTCAGTGAAACTAAACATTACTGGTCTGCTGTGCCAATAGGAACAGCAATTCAGCCTGTAGATGAAAATGCAGCACACACTGTCAGATATTGCAGCAGAACTCCAAGGGTGTGATGCTTTGTGTGGACTGGTTCAGGCACAATTGATCATTTTGCATTTCATGTAAGACAACACATTTTTCTTGAAAAGCAACAAAAAATCCTCTGCCACCAGCATGACCTGATTATAATTCAGTCCTACTACACAGTACAGTCAGAATCAACTTAAAAGAGGACAACATCCCAACAGATAGAGTGAGAAGTGGTTTGCTCTTCCAGTGCAACTGAATGCTTGTTGCTATCTAATCTCTTACATGCAATGATAACAATTAATTACAAGCAGAGATGGCTCATGCTCATAACCTACTTGAAGCTCTTAAAAAGCTTAATAAGCATCACTAAAAGAATTTTAACAGAGTGACCAGGTTCCCTCCACATTTTATCTGCAGCTCCTGAGTGCCCCAAATGAGAAAGCTGCCCACCTGTCAGAGCCAGAGAGGGGGTAGATGTCAGTACCATCCCAAAAGTCAGTGCAGGCCTCAAGGATGATGTCAGCTGTCCCATGAGAAAACATCTGCTCAGTGCCTGGAGTGTAGGAGAACAATGAGTCAGCATCACATATACTGCTCCAGGAAGGGCATATCACACCAGCTGCTCCCTTATTTGTTAAAACATGAGTGTTCCCACCAAATGCTTTGATGCATTCCAGATATCCCCTTTTCCTCTGCTCAAAGTCTTCAGTCTCCATCAAGAAATTGTTCAGGATTGATGATGCACCTGCAACTGCCCTTTATCTAATTGTGGGTCCAAACAAGGCTGTGATAAAATATGAGCCATGCAGTCCCTTCCTATTCTCCCCTTACCCTGTGTATCAATCCTGCTCCTATAAAGGTGGGATAATATCTTGTTCCTGCATCCCACAGAGCAGAAGAGAAATTCCTTTGTGCCTCTTGTCAGGAAAGTACAAGCAGCAGTGATGAGCCTACAGGGATCAAAGTCTGCCTATGCTGCAAAGTGCATTCATTTCTAGGCCAGACATGGAACTAAAGGGTAAGAGCTATTCTTGAATACTTTTCATTCAAGTAGCAGAAGATAATTTGACAGTGTGACCTGCCAGAAAACAGCCTGTTTCACATTTTCACCCTGAAAATGTGTTAAATCAGAATGGTCAAAAGTTCAATATAAGAGACTCTAGAAAAGTAACTCAACTCATGCTGCCTTTAGGGAAGAACCGAAAATCAACGGACACCACAGCTTGTCCTGGTTTTCCTTCTCCCCCTATTTTAGTTTTTTAATACAGACTCAAAATCTCTTATTCCTTCTTGTAGTCAGAGGTGTCAAAAAGTTTTGCTCAGAGGTGTGTGACGTCCCTGCTGCAGGCCCCAGGCACAGGACACAATTTCAGGGACGTGGGGCTGTCTCCCCTCCACACCTCCTGCTCCCTCTCACTTGTATCAACCCATTAACATTTCCTGCACGTAGAGTCTCCCTTCCCTCCTCCAGCTGCTCTGTGACTTTACCCCCAAAGGCTTCAAAGCTGAGCTAATGAAAAAAAAAAAAAGAAAACCACCAAAGAAAAACCACTGCCAAGGAAAATGAGCCCAAAGGCTTCTTGCAGGCATTGCTGCTGACTGCTAATGCTCACACTGGCCGGTGAAACCCAGAGCCAAGAATATCCCCTCAACACAAACCAGCCAGGGACCTTCAGGAACACCGGAGGATTTTCCAAAACATAGCAGCTCTCTGCTTTTGCTATAAATAGTCACCACAAGCCAAGTTTATCAGCATAACAAACCTCCAAGACAAATAAGAGCTGTGTGTGAAAGGAGCCTGTCTCAGGGACACAAAGGAGCACTTGTGCAGAGCTCTGGTTAATTTTATTGTATAAACACCTAATCCTTCCCACCTTGCTCCTAAGGTCAGATAGTCCTTGCTCAGAAAGAGGGAACAAGAGATGTTTATCCATGCAAAATCTATGTGCTGGACACAGAGCAAGAGCTTGCAATGATGTACCCATGCTCATGCCTGTCAGCAACTGCAATCCACTTCCCATTAATTCCCACCAGAATCTCACACCACAGCCCTGCTAAGGGGACAGTGGCAGTGACTGCAGACACTATAAACTGCAAAGAGTTCACTGAGCTGTCCTTGCCAGTAAAATGAGCTCAGCCTTTTCCCTTCCCAAATCATGAACTCTCAGGCCAGGATTTCTCTGGCAAAAGAGGAAAAAACGAATGAATAGGGCAGGGGGTATGACAGCCATTCATGGCTGCTGGGACTCATTGGGAAGAACCAAACTGCTCCAGACAGATCAAAAGGAATGGAGCAGTGCAGCTCCAGCACAGGAAGACAGAGATGGTATTGAGACATTTTCCTCAGCAGAAGGCATCTGAGCACCTCATTTCCATGTGGTCACTACGGATCTGGGATGAACACTGCCAGATGCTGGGACATGTATTTCAACAGAATAGTAAGGGAACATACAGATAAGCTGCCTCCTATTTCTGCTACAGCTGTAGAATTTATGTATCTTGCTTTGACTGCAGCATGTCACGGGAGTGGGTGGATTCCAAGATTTGTTCACAAATAATGTGTGGAGAGAGGTAAGTTATGATCATCTGGTCTGACGTCTGCATAAACAGAGCCATTTGACTTCATCCAATGTTATCTGCACAATCCAGTTTTTCTGGTTCTAAAATGGCAGTATTTTAGGAAATTTCAAGGGACCAGACTATTGTGTGAGAGGTGTTCCAATGGTTAACTAAACCCAACTGGCAAAATTCCTCTTAGAATTTACTCTAGACAGGATAATCCAGGTCACACCTCTTCGTCTGAGCTCCAGACTCTAATCTAAACCGTTTAAAATTGAGGATAAGGAGTTGAAATGAGGCAACATTAAAGGTTTTTTCTCTACACTAAAAATCTCAGCATCAAAACAATTCCTACTTACAAAGGCCAGGTAGCAGCAATAAGAGCAAATGAAAAAACTCCTCCCCATATAAAGACAAAAATTTAAGAAGAAGTGGGTGAGAGAAGACAATTTAACCTGGTAAAACTCTGGCCAGCACAATGATCATGCTTCAGACTCAATATTGAACATATGTCAACTCTAGAGAGCCAAGTTCAGTCAATTTAAGGAATTACAAAGAGACTAAGAGCTCTGACAGGCAAGCTGTTAAATCTTTCTGAGGTGCTTTAAGACCTCAACCAGCTGTACATCCTTTCCATCCTAGCCCATTCCTCTGAGAGCAGGAAGGCGTAGAAAGAGTGGAGAAGTCTGCATGACTTCAGGCTTATATTCATGGTCACTGTGAGTTTTCAGGCTTATATTCATGGTCACTGTGAGTTTTATTCATGGTCATGAGAGTTTTGTAATTTCTTATTAGTATGCAATATAGGAGTGTGCAATGTAATACACTAGACAACTCTCAAAGATATTGGTTTATGATTTATCAGAAGGATGAGCATTATTAACTAAAACCCAAAGTGATATTCAATCCTGTGCAGTATTAGTTTCACTACCATCATGAAGTCTATTAAAAACTCAACAAACCCATACCACACTCTGTACTGCCATTTGTTCACAGAAAACAGGTCTACTATATGCTAGCTAAGATATTTTTTTAAAATTATCTGTGATTCTGGAGTGAGCCAAGACTGGGAAGAATTCCCTCCTCAGAATACCCCAGATGATCACTGAGGTTTGTTAATCACATCTGCACTGGCCATGGGCAGAGCAGGGGCATCACCCCCAGGGACTGCAGCCTCTTCCAGTCTGACATTTTCTGGGCTCTCTGAGGAAAAGTTCCCCCTGTGCCAAGTGGATGCCCAGAGAAAAAGGCAGCCTTACTGGTAGTGGTGTCCTTTACAAACAGGTTAATCATGTGGCTCAGGGGGGGTCTCCTCTTGGTGATGGATGAAAGCTTCCCCAGGATGGTTTCCTTCACCATCTCATCACTTGGCAGGCGGTACAAAGCCAAATAGTTCTCCTGCTTGAAGAGATCTTTAGCACCTGGTGTGAAACCTGAAACATGAACACAAGGAAGAGGAAAATCAGGCTCTAATCAATGCAAAAGGGAAGTCCCTTCTGATTCTGATTCTGTGCCACTTTGCCTGTGCTCATTCTGGCACCTCTGCAGCAACTGGTAGGTGAGCTGTGCTCAGTGTTCATCTATGTAAATATGGCTCAAGATCTAGGATGAAAAACACTCAAAAGGACTAGATTAGTGATTACAGTGTTCATGCTCTTGTTTACTGATGAGAGTAACCGTGACATCACAGGATAGGCATGGAAGTGAGTTCAAGTTTCCAGTTTTTAATCCTGGTGTTACCTCTAACCTCTTACTGCCCTTATGCCTCCATTTTCCCATGTGTAAAATGAGCTGAGGTACATCCTTTATCCCCAAACACCCTGTAAAGCTCTACAGTAAAGACAGGACAGATACATGTTCATTAGCAGGTATTCTTTCTCTCTGATGAGACTGACAGACTCACACCAGGAGAATATGAAGCCTAGCCAGGGCTGGCTGGCACTATCCCTGATAACATTTGTTCCTTGGATAGCACTGACAATGTCAGAACTTGCCAAAAGCCATCTCTTTAATAAACTCTTTTGGCAACCAAACAACAACAGAGTCAGCTCTGTATTTCCACCTCCTCGGCAAACGGGACTGGGGAAATATTCTCATGCACTCTGAGGATTAAGTGTCTATTGACAGCTCTGATTTCTCCACGTCTGTTCATCCAGCTGCTCCTCACCTATCAGCCTGGCAAGCTCACAGAGGCCCCAGGGCACGTGGACAGGCAGCACAGCATTGTGAGTCTCCTGCAGGGCGATGTTGCACAGGTGGTCGGAGAAGCGGCACAGCCGCTCGGTCACGCCGGCGTTGCACAGGTTGAGCAGCACGTTCAGGCCCAGAGGCTTGAGGGAATTCAGGTGCATGTGCCAGTTGGAGTCATCAAACTGGATGCAGGAGGGGTTCTGCTGGTCCTGGGACAGGCTGAGCATCTCCAGGTGGTAGTCACACACAAAGTCTTCAGCCTCACAAGCCAACACCTCGCTGTCCCCAACAACCTGGTCCAGCAGGCAGAGAAACTGTAGTTTGTTACAATGAACACAGCCTGAGCCTAGAATCCTGCAGGGAATTCCCAGTTAAACTCCCCCAAAGTGGGGACTCTATGGGTTTGAGTTTGTGTTACAGCTCCACAAAAGCCTATTTGTGTGCCCCTCCAGTAAGTCTCACCTGAGTGTGCTCCTCCTCTCCACCCTCTGTGTCCTTGCTAAAGCTCACATTGGATCCAGAGGGATGTTTGCTTCTGCTGCTTGGCTTCCGGTGGGCAGAGGCTTCAGGAGCCTTTGGAGCATCACCAGACCAGTTGTTCCTCTCCTGCTCATTGGCCATGTGCACTGTGTCTGCCAGGGGGCCAGAGAGCAAAGCATCTCTTTCATGGGGCTGTGGGAGACCAACAGAGCAAAGGGTGGTGATTCAGTGGCTGAACACAAGGCACTGCTGATTCACCTGCTGCTTCAGACTCCTGCAGAAAAGGATCCTCACTTGTTTCTTCATCTTTAAGCAAAGAATTATGGCACATATCTTCTCTACAAGACCCCTCCATAATATCACATTGTGTCAGTCAAAGTGTGATTGCAGCCAACACACCACGTTATGGGGTAAGGATCACCCACCTCATCTTCCATCTCAGGGTGGCAGAAGGACCTTGTGGAGAGCTCGTCAGTCAGGTCTTCATGGCTGTCATGAGGTGGTTCCACCTTCCCACTGAAGAACAGAACAGTCTCTGGGCTGGGGTTTGGCCAGGAAAGAATCCCCTGCTTGTCTACACAGCAGAGCACCTAGAACATCCCACAACACCCCCAAGAAAGCAAAATCTTAGTGAAAACATCTGAGTTCATGCATAGTTGTAAATATCATGACTTTGATAAACACATGGGAGGACAGACAAGTCTCTCCTTCACCAACTTGCTCTCTGAAGAAACTGCACCTAATAACACTCCAAGAAATCCAAGAATTCCTTGCTCTAACAAGACTGATGGGTTGTTTAACACCAATTTTACTTCAGCATATTACAAAACTAGGCATGAAGACCAGAGGAAGGAAGCAACTATTCAACCTATTTCACCAGCTAGTACCTTACCAAGACCCAAACCATCAGGTTCTTGCACAGGAATCAAGAGGATAATTTATCCAGAACCAGAGCTGGAAGATACAGACATCCTGTCAGATGTCACAGAGTATCTCAAACCATTGTTTTAGCCTGTAGATGTGCTTGGACATGACAGGACAGTTATAAACTCTTCTACAAAGACAGGTGCCTGAAGGGTTTCTAATTCCAGCACAGTGAACTGCTTGCAGTCTGTGCTCAGGGAACAATGACATGAATGATGCAAATGAAGCATCCTCACAGGGCTCCTCTTTCTGACAAGCCAGCAATACTCACAGTGACAGATCCCAGACTGTGGAGCAAGCTGGAAGTGAAGCTCAGAGTTGGGGATTTGCCTTTTAAAACACAGAGGAAGTGGCTCCAGATACATCGGATCATTTCCTGAGGAGGGAAGCAGAGCACATCAGCCAGTCAGAGACTCATTCAGGGGAAGATGAAGGGAGAGGAGGGGAAAAGGGAGTATGACATTACCTGCTTTCACTTTCAACACAGGGATACACTGTAAGATAGCCATCAGTCTCTGTGGGAACCTGCTACCTGATACAGTGCTGGTGTTCTTCAGGGAAAAGCATTTCTTCCCCTTTCCACTGATTGCTAACAGTCAGTCTGATTGTTGAATTGAGAATTCACTGAAACTACCTCTGGTCCACCCAAAACCACAGAAATGAATTCTGAAGTGAGTTCATTTCGAGTGAATCAGTTGTCACCTCTTGGTGTTTTTATCCTGAAGTAACTCAACCCCTTGGATTGTGGAGTTTGAGGCCTTTGAGTTCCCACCACCATGCTGCAAATCAGGTAAAGGATGGGGTCCCTGTGATGAGGTGACTTGCTCAAGGTCACTTACTGAGGCAATGATAACATCAGAAACAAAGCCAAGGTGCCCTGACTGCTCCATTCTTACAAAGGAATTGTCATGGAACAGAAAGAAGGGGATATTTTGTAAAATTAAAATGTCCAGTTGGCACCCTTCATTTTCTACACAGATATGTTTCAGAGGGAGTCTGGATGGCAGTAATCAATCCAAGCACCAGAGCTGTGTGCTTTCCTCTGGCAATCCTAAAGCTAGCAAAACCAGGATTGAATTACTGTGCTATTTTACCGCTTTTTAGTTGTTATTCTGGAATATTGTGACTGCAGAGCACTTCCCCCAAAGCTTCTCAAATAATTTTCCCTGGATTCTAATGGTTAGTACAGCAATAAGCTCAAATACAAAACAATCTGGAGCTATCACCAAGAAAAAAGAAAAGCTCTTATTTAAACCAGTTTCTTCTAAGCAAAAATGTTACAAAAGGAAAGAAAGAGATCTCCTCAACAAGGCAGGTCAGCTAAAATCACCCCCATTTAATATCTGAAAAACATCTCAGCTAAATGATGAACTGGCACAGAAAGGCAACAAAATATTCAGCAAAGGAAACTCATGTGTGTGCACCCATGTGCACTCCTCTGAGTGACTGGAACAAGGAGACAGGAATTGATTCTTATCATATCAAGGGATTTTTAATCACTCCTGGAGTCCATCTGCATCCTTATGGAAAGGAGAACCTGAACACCAGATAGACAGAGAAGTATCTCCTTTACCCACCTGTTGAACCTGGATGATGCAATTTACAGAGTGGCCAGAGTAGTTCCTTCCCTAGAAAAAGGGCTCCTGAATGTTTGATTGCCCCAGCTCTGGAAGCACCAGTAATGTGCTTAAGCCTGATAAGAAGCCTATGGAACAGGATCAGACTTTTTAAAAGCCTGAATACCCCACAGTCCTTCTGCAGTTTGGTCTGGGTGCTGACCACCACTCCTCTGGGTTTTAGTTTTGGCTTCAACAAGGATTCTCAGGTGCAAGCAAAAGACTTCACTTCGTTCAGACACACACCATACAAAGTTTATTTGACTTCTGGAACAGGACTTGAAAGAAGTACTGTCTCCAGGACAGAAAGTGTTGATTTCAAACCATTTGCAATATTCAGAAAAGCCCAACTGGACTCAGCATTGAGGTCACCTCAAACTCTAGCCAGCACAGCAGTATTTACACGGGGAGGTGGAAGGCAAAGACATGCAACCTGCATGCACAGCAAATGAAAGCAACAAATGAGTGACAATGGACAACTGACACAAGTAAAAGGGGTCTAGCAACAAGCATGAGATCAGAAAGGAAGGGAAAGGATATCATGAAGTTCTACAGTGAAGATGGAGGAAAACAATTCATAATAATAGTACCTGAGAAGATACCATCTCTGTGTAGCTGCTGAGAGTGTCCTCTGAAAACTTAGCAAGCTGCAGCAAGAGAAGAGACCAGTTACTATGATTGTGCTCAGAAATGTGCCATGAGGAACATCCTTCCCACAGGATGTGCCTTCAGGGAGGAGAAAGCAGGAGCCCTGCTCTGGGGGAATGGCTGTACCACGGCAGACCCATCACTCATCACAGCAATTACATCTTAATGGACTCTGGTTTTATCTACTTGTGAAGCACAGGCAAAGTGCTTGGTGCTGTACATCACAGAGGAACACACAGTCATTACCTAAATGTCCACAGAGAAAATAATAGCAATTAGGCCCAGAGGAGGATCTTTCTGGGGGGTTATTTTTAGTTAGAAAGAGGCAGGATTGAGTGATCTGATTTTAACTTATATGGGTCAGTTACAGGAAGGGAGCTGGAAGATGGGTTGGAAAAGCAGGTGCCTGGAACACAATGGACACAGAGGAATGAGGCAATATGAATGGGATGTGGAGAGGAAATGAAAAGAAATTACAGCAGGGCACCACCACGGTGCTCTTGGAATTACCCTGAGAAATTCACTAACTCAGATATTTTGCATCCAGCACAAAGGTATTGCACACTAGATGTAATTTTGAAAAAGTTTAAATTAAGTGTATTCACAACCACAAGTGACCACGGCAATTACATTTATATGTAAATAAAACTATAGCCCAAATAATAAAGCATATATCTGGCATTTGAAAAAGGATCAGTTTAACAAAGCCATAAAAAGCCAAGAGAAATATGTCAGAAATCATTTAAACTGAGAACTATGAAGGATAATTAGGAACTGCTTAAGAATATTTTGTTACCATTTTAAAAAGCAACAATCCCATAGTAAAATAAGAGACCAGTTTAAAGTGAAAATAGAAGTAAGAATTAACATAAAAAATAAGGAGAAGCATACCAGTTGGTAATTAAAACCAGACCACTGCTTGTTAAAGACAGTGAAATTGCCAATGACATTGTAGGCAAGACAGACATGTTAAATAAATATTGCTATTCTTTATTCAGTGATACAATGATACCATAGGATAACTATGAAATATTTTCCATTCCAACACCAGCTACAGAAAGTAAATATGTTTAAATTAGCAGGTCTGGACAATGACTATTACTGCTGATTTTGCAGAAGGCTTGAACTATGGATTAAGTCCCAGTTCAATGGAAGTGGTGCCAATGCCCAAAAAGGGAAGGAGAACCATCCAAGTTACCACAGGACCCCAGACAGACTTTGATTTCAGACAGAATAAAAGAGCAGCTAATATGAGACTCAATTAAAAGAAAAGAAGTGGAATAATAAAATCAGTGCCAAACACCACAACTATATGAGCAGCAAATCTCCTCAAACTATTGTGGTATCTTTTTTGACAAAATTACAAATTTGTCTGATAAAAGTACTGCTTTTGACATAGACCATTTGTTAATTTGACTTGATTCTAAATGCTTGACTAGCTTTCTAATGAAAATACCAAAATAATAGGGCTCATGTCAGATATATTAGAAATAGACTATCTCTAAATGGAAGAGAAACAGAAATTATTTGCAATGATGTGTTACTACCTCAAGCAGGGACAAATCTGGGTATTTTTTTAATAACCTGAGAGAAAACTAAAAACAACATACTACTAATAGAGACTGTAAAGGATACAAAGTTTAGGGTAGGGTGCAATGTAAAGAGGACAGACCACTGTCACAGAACAGTATGGATTGCTTGGGCAGTATGCAAAAACAAGGCACAAAACTAAGGCTGTGTATTCAGGTGCAAAAAATCCTTACAGGATGAGGATTCTCAGAAAGCATTAACTGCAGCTGAACAAAGCCTGGCCTTTTAAAGCAGTGGCTGCAAGATCTAATGGGATCCTTTGTGGTACAAACAAGGGAATACAGAGCAGAAAGTCCAAATTGTTCTGAAATTTATCAAAAGCACAGCTATTACTGGAATATTTTGTGGGGTTTGAGATTCATAACCCTACAGTGTTCCTGAAACAGAGGAGAAAGCTAAGAGGAATGCCAAGAGAAAGATTAGGGGTTTGGAATATATGTTTATAGTGCCTCAAGGTGCTTGAACTGTTTACTTAACCAGAGATGGTAAAAAGGAATGTGAGTAGTTACAACAGACCAGAATTTTGATTGACGTGCTCTTTGCTCTTAAATCTAGGAGACAAAAGATGTAAATTTTCCAAGGGCTGGAAATCAGATACTGCAGAAATTCCCACTAATACAGAATGTCCATTTTTAGCAGTGAAGGTAAATAATTACTGACAAAACCTATCAAAGGCAGTACAAATGTTTTCAAACCAACAGCAAATTCTTTTCTAAAAGGAATGTTGCTGCAGTGCAACTGTAGTAATGGAACTTGAGGCAGGGGCTTGTTTAGGGGGCACTGGTTTGTGTCCTTTCAGCAAGTCACAAAGGTCACCTCTGGCCTTGAAAAACTGGGAATCAAACAGCTTGAGCATGATAGGAAGGGGAAGAAGCTGGAGAAGCAGCCAAGTTGCCACCAAGTGATTGGAGAGGAGAAGGGCCTTACCTGCTACAGTTTGAACAGAGAAGAGAGAAGGAAGGAGGGACATGGGGAGGCCAAGTGACTGCCCTGGTCAGGGGTGAGTGACCAAGGCATGTCACAGCAGCTGTTCTGCAGCAGCAAGGATGGAGCAGCATGTCTGAGATGCCACAGAAAGAGCTGGCTGGACAGACAGAGTTGCCTGGACAAGAAAAAGGAGAAGACAGGAAAGGAAAAAAAGGAAAGTGCAAGTATGAGTGACAGGGCAAATGGGAATGTTAAGAATGATGGAGCAAGGAAGCCAAGGAGCTCTGGCTTTTCCCAGCTGAATTGAGAAGGGAAAGAGGGAGGTTTCAAAAGTAGAAACCAAGTGATGCTGAGAATGGGTAGGAAAGGTAAAGTGGTGAAAACACTGAGAAGAGATTATAAAGGTGCAAATGCTACTAAGGATTGTAATGTGCCCTTCCTCCCAGGACACAGAGAGCTTAGTCATGTTCAGCTAGAGAGAAAAGAATAGAAAACACAGACCCAGGGCCACACAGGCCAAGGAGGGACAAGAAGGAGAGAGAAACTCTGTCCAAGTAACAGAAATCAGCGCAGAAGACAAACACAGCTCAGTGCATCTCACCAGCACTGCCACCAGGACAAAAGAAGGGGCACACAACAGCACATCCAGCTCAGGACCACGTCCCATCAGACCACCAAACTCCACTCCCCAAACCAGCACAGCCACCAGAAACTGCTCTTACTCCCTGACCTACTCAAAGGCCACACCTGCAAACAAAGCCCCAGAGCCTCAGGAAGGATTGTTCAGCCACAGGGCTTTGCAGAGGATATGATGTGTCTCACTCCTTCTCAGTGGCTACACATTGCCCAGTTACAGCCACCTCAGGGCATTTATCTCCATGCTGACCCCTCTGTCAAACTGTATTTATCTGACAGAAAACACATGCCATGAAGAGTATTATGGAATCACCAGAGCTTCCTATCACCTTGGGATATCTGTAGAGAGGTTGAAAAAATTAAAGCATCTGTTCAAGAAGCAATATTGTACTCCAGGGAGAGGGGACAACAGCTGGGACAGCCAAAGATCCAACAATGTTTCACAATTATGTGAATAAATCTGCTGAATTTTCACTTCACAGAGCCTTTTCATCTCCTGCCCTTGTCTCTGCAATGGTTTCATGTGGAGAGAAACCTACCAGAGAGGTGGAGGAGGCCTTGCTCATCTGGGCCAACACTCTGGCTTCTCCAAAGGCTGTAGCAAGAACCCACAGGACAGGAAAGAGCAATGGAAGGATGGGTAAGACACCATTCACCTGAAAAAAACAACCTGTGATCACCAACAAGCACAGAGACAACAAGAAGTCAGAACCTCTCACATGACACATTTTCCACCACAGTGAGAGGAGAGGGATAAAAGGCCAGGGCAGGAAGGAAGGGGACTGGGAGCAGTGCAAACACTGCACACCTTAGGGGGGTTTAATGAAGGAGGCCATGAATCAATCACACCAACTTGTTTTTCCTGCTGAATTTGGTATAAACACTAATGAGTTTAAATGCAAAGGATACCATATATATATATCATAGATATAGATAAACACCTACATGGCAAATGAGAGAGCAAAGCATTTAAAGGAAAGTCTTAGATAAACACATACATGGCAAAAGAGAGAGCAAAACATTTAAAGGTAAGTCTGTAAGGGAAGTTCTGATGTCCTCCTCCACTGAATGCTCCTGGACCCAGCATGCTTTCAGATCCAGGAAGCACAGGATGCTGTCACAGGATGAATTAAGTCCTAACAGAGGGAATCCATCTCAGCAGTGATCAGAGAAGAGGTGTAGTGAAGCTCAGAGCTCTCCTTTACCTGCAGCTGAAGCAGAGTGTACTGCCAGGAAGCAATTCCAGGAGCGTGGAAAATGAAGCGCACGGCATTGGTGATCAGGAATCCTGCCTGCAATTCAGAGATGGCACTGTCACCTAAATACTGCCACTTGCAGGGAAGGTGTTTTCAGTGCCTTGTAATATTCTCAAACGTGGGGAAAGTATGAAAAATATTCTTTTGATCTGCTGCTGCAGTTCTTCCCTCCACTCTCATGGTTATGTGGCTCAGCATCTCTGAACTGATCAAGTCAGCTGCATGAGTGAGCCTGGCCACAGCTTCCTGTTGATGGCTGCAATTCTTCAGATTTATTGACAAAACATGGTTATTCTCAAGGACAAAGGCTTGGAATGAGACCTACCAGCACGATAGGGACAGCATATTTCAGCATCACTGACTGTACAGTGAACCTCTCATTATCCAGGGCTGTCACAGGCCGTGACAGAGCCATTTCCAGGCACCACCTAAAAAACAGAAAACAGCTAGAAATTTCAGCAACCAAGACCCTAACCCTTCACTTTCCTTGGATATAAACCTCCCAGCAGCCCTGATTAGAACACTGTGCTCGGCCTATGCTATGAGGGAGGGCTGTCAAAAGAGAAGCCAACATCTACAATAAGAGTGAGGCACTTGCCAGGGTAAATTTGCAGTATTGCCAAGAGAACTTCTCAGGTCTCCTCACCTGCTTAGCAGGAAGGCAGCACCAAGGACACAGACAGCTGGGTAGGCACTGTGCCCACATTTAACCCACCTGACATTATCAATTATTGGGGTCTTCAACACACGGAAGAGACGATAGATCTGAGGATTCTGAGGTCCCTTCTTCACTTCTCCCCTCGGGGAGGGTGGGGGTGAGAAGGGTGGAAATAGATCTCCAGGCTCCAGAACTATGTGCTCATCATCCTAGAAGAAAGGTCAGAGAGCCCAAAGGCTTGTGTTCAAGCACACCTGGTTATTTCATGAGAATTGGCATTTGGAGTGAAAGTTACAATTAAAACCACCAAAGGTAAATTTCAAGCTTTAAACTTTTTCCAACCTTCTTCATGCAGTAAAATCTTTGTATAGATCTTGTAAGTGAGTAGTTAATTTACTTCTACACCAGGTATTTTATATTACCTTCTCAAATCAGTAGTAAGGAGAAGGTCAAAGCAGACAAACTTTATTTCTGCACATAAAAAGCAGGATAAAGGATGAGGTTTGTATGTCATATTATCCTACTGGATAGATTCACTCATTATATTTAGCAGCACATTACATTTTCCCCTTGACCTGAGAGAGGAGGAAATCTGGTGCTTTTGTGTAACATCAGTGTCTCCTGTCCAGTGAGTTTGGGAGTTCATGGAGAAGATGCAGCCTGGCTAACTATGCACTGTCCTTGACTGAACTGGAATTTCAAGCTATTTTCAAGGTCAGAAGAAAACAAACACTCCATAATTTGTACTCTGGGAATTAAGAGTGCTGGCATGAAAAACCTGGGAAATCAATTGTTACAGGCCAGGGAAATTAGACAAGCAAGTTACCTTAATCCCTCTCAGAGAAGCAAATGATTCCTGGCCTGGCCTCAAAGCCACAACATCTCCTTCCACCAAGAGGCTCACGGGCAGGTTGACAAGATGCCCATCCCTGTAGGCCCAGTGAAGGGACCAGGATGGGGCATAAGGCATGTGAAGGTCAGGGTACATGGAGTCTGGCCATTTCACCTCTTTTCCAAGTGTATCTGAAAGCACAAAGTGAGAAAGAATGAAGTCACAGAACTCTGGATTTACATCCTGTAGTGGTTTTAAGTCCCCCAATGCTAAGCTCAGCCCATTCCAGTGGTCTTTTATCATCTCTCTCTTCCTCCTTGATGGATTTTCCCCTCTCTCTCCACTCAGTATTAACAACTACACAGTTTTTAAAAACCTGTACAACAGAAAAGCTAAAGGCTGTATTTAAACTGCCCCACTGAAAGGAACTGCCCCCTCAGGTCCCAAAGCCCCTGTTGAGATGATGCTCATGCACAGCAATTTATTTCCTTCTGCTCCCTGTTGCGGCACAACCCCACGTGCTCTCCCCTCCTCATCTGCTGCAAGGCAGATATTTTGGTAAGGATGTGAGGATTTGAATTACTCCAAAGCACAGCCATAACAGACGCCCACCTGCTAACACACAGCTTGGAAGCACATGGCCACATGACAGCTCAAAATAACCATTTTACAGGACAGGCATGAGGAGAACACACTTCCCACAGCCTGCTTCTGTGCAACATGGGGGGAAGGTTAGCAAGCTTAGTTAGGAATGCATGTGATCAGGTTTGGGGAAAGATTCAATGGGAGGAAAACACCAGTGCAAATGGGACAGATGAAGGAGACCTCACCGTTTATCTTATCAACGATGGTCTGAAGCCTCCTCTCCACCTCTCTGCACTTCAGCCTCTCCTGACGCCCGATCATGAGGAGATCCAAGAGGAGCAGGAGGAACAGTGCCAGTGCATTGACTATCTCAGCACCTTGGCTTCACACAGCAAAACAGGAGCAAGCAGAATGCACATGAGGTTTGAGTAAACAAGCAGAATACACTGCCAGACACCCACAGAGATAAACACTCAACTGCCTGGTTGTTTATTTCCACATCTCACAGATTCATGGCTCAAAAAGAAACGCATGATCACACTTCTTTAGGATAAAGACACCAGAGAGGTCTGAAAGGACCCATCTCAATTAAAAAATACTTTACAAATATGGCCAATGCATGTATAGCACACTAACTTCTCCCATGAGCCACTAATTTCTCCAGTTTCAAAATGCTTCCTATGATAATGCCTTAGAAGTCTTAAAGATCTAGGAATGCTGTATAAAAACAAACCCCTTAATCTCTCAGGAGGACACTCTCTGGGTCTATCACAGGTAGAATTAAGTTGGCTGAAGTTTTGTGAAAGGGATTGATAGGAAATTACCAGTGTGACTACACTGATACCTAAATATCTGGACAGAATGAGGGACAACACTTATGTCAATCACAGATGATACAAAACAACCACCTTGCTTCAGTTAAGCAGCACAGGAAGCTTGGCTCACCTCCCCTGTGGCTGGCTCCCATAGCAGCACAGCAGCAACAGCACTGCCAGCAGCATCAGAGAGGCACCAGGCCAGTGGAAGCAGGAGCAGCGGTTACCATGGTACAGGAAACTGCTCCTCCACACCTCCTGCAAAGGGAGAGCAGCACAGTCAGCACTCGTGGAGTACAGAGCCAGACGTTTGGAAAAGCAGAGTGAGAAAGGGTGAAGACAGCAGCTGGTGCTCCAGGGAGAACAGAACTTTGCAAAACCCCTGAACATGACACAGAGCATCCCAGATCCATTGTGTGGGTCCTTCAGCACCAAGGGATATTCAGCTGGTGAGTCTGGGTGAACACTTGCTGCTTTTCTCGACTGGAAGAATGAAAAGGCTTCTGTGCCAGGCTGTCCTATTGTCACTGACCAACCAAGGCACACTTTCAAGCACTGTGCATAAACACTGGCATTTTGTATTCAACACACATCCCAGGCAAACACAGAGGACAAGGGGAGACTGTTGAGATTCACAGCTCTTTTATCTCCACCTGAGATGGACCCGCTAAGCTCACTGCCCTTAGTGGCTCCTGAAGTCCTGAGATCCTTCACAGGGCAAGAGGCATCTTCCCACAGAGCTCTGGCATCCAGGAGAGAAATGCTCACAGAAACTCACCCTTAGACTCCTTGCTTTGCTCCCAAGGACTTCAGCAGTTCCTCACCTGGACACTCTGGGGGACAATGCAGCCAACTTCTGTTTAGCCCTCATCTTTACTTTGAGAAGGGGAGACCAAGTGCCCAACTTGTGCTGTTTGGTGCCTCACCTTCCATGAAGTGCCTTTTTTCCGTTCCTTCTGGTGCCCCTCCAGCAGTGCTGACAATTGGTCTCTCAGGATTGTGAGGGCTTTCTTTGTGGTCAGGCCCAAACTTGAGGTCATCTCATCCTGAGGTGTCAGAAAAATAAACTGGTTAGTGCTTCCCTATTTTCCTTTTGGGCTTTTTCCTGGTGGCTGACAGAGCATGTGACTGTGAATGCCCTGCACTCATCATCACCAGCCTGATTCTCCATTTTCCTGAAATCATCTTCCCTCCTGTGAACTTTAGACTGCTGGCTGGAATTAGAGCACTTAGATAGTATCAAGTAAACAAACCGGTCCTGACTGTGCTGATAAATACTTTATCACAGCACAATACCAAGTCATTTCTGTGAAACAAGATCTAATCAGTAGAGGCTGAGGACAATACAAACAGAGGTTATGCAGGCTTGAACTGGTATCAGCTTGTAGAGACAACAAAACACAGTTATGGTAGAATTTTTATGATACAGGATGAATTTTGCTAACAATAGTAAAAACTAAGTAGTAGAATATCCACAATTCAAAACAAGAGTGGTGCAATTTCCACAACTGCTTGCTACCAATTTTTGTTTGTGAGTCCTGCCTCTGTGGCTACTTTGATGCATAAGCTCCCAGATCTAAATGCTAGGCCATAGATCAGTTCAGGACCAGACATGACCCTGCCATCCATGACCTCCTCTTACAAGAGCAAACACTGGAGTTTTAAGGGCTGAACTGCAAGGGACACACTTGCACTTGCAGGAAGCACAGAGTTCACAGCTCTGCTCCCTCAGTGCTCATCAAAGAGCAGCAGTCCCAAAGGACACATCCCAGCAGTGTGCCATGTGGAAAACGCTGCCATAAGATGCTGGTGACAATAAAGTCAGGTAAACTTCTGCCCCCTGCCCTGGCCATCCCAGCCTCAGTGTGAGAGCCAGGTACAAGGGGATGATTGCATCCTTCTGCTTTGGGATGGTATCAGGGCTCCCAAGAGTTGTGATCTATGGGATGGCTGCTAGGGGAAAAACATTTCCTTTGTGCATGTGATTTTATTCTCTAGAGGCAATGAATGTGCTGAGGTGTGGACTGGATGGGAACATGAAAAGATGTGTGAATTTCTCCACTCATAGTAAATATTCTACATGTTGAATTAGTGCTTAGCTGAAAACATTAGGAAAAGGGAACCTGAGACAGATCTTGCAAATGCCCATGGTTAGGAGCTGGTTTGGCTCTTGCATTTCTGGGCCAGAAGCATGATTTCTTTCAAATCACAGACTGCAGTGAGGTACTGTGGGCACCAAATCACTGACAGCAAATCAACAGGGAAGAACAGGCAGGTGTCCATGAGAGGGCTACAGGGGGACACTGCTAAATAAGAGTTCTCATGGGCATTTCATGTTTTAGTACAAACACATTGAGCATGTACAGCACATAGGATATCCTGCATATAGAAATGTTCATGTGTGTCCCACTGTGCCCAGAGTACAGAACTGCTGAACACAAACAGGCAGGAAGTTTGTCCCTCCTGCCCCCAGCAGTGTGACACAGCCCAGAGCTCAGGCAGGAGCTGCAGCTCTTCCTGCTCCCAGAGCCCTTCCCAGCCCTGCCAAACCCACCATGGCCTCAGACTGCAGCAGCTCTGCTCCTCAGGGGCTGCTTGCACACGCCCAGCTCTGCAAGTGCAGCTTGGCTCTGATCTGTCCCTCCTGTTCCTCAACTGCATGGTTTCGTGATGAACATTTACTGGAAACTAATCTTGGACTTCAGACTCATTTGCATTGATGGTCCAGTCCAAAACTGTGACACTATTGAGGAAGAGAACATAAATTCTCTTTCAAATACCATCTACCACACACACACACTCTCCCCACCTATCAGAGACAACCTGAAACAGCAAATTCTGTCCAGGCAGAGTCCAGCAATGCTGCTTCAGCTGCACTTTCACAGAACTAAAAATAATCCTGCTGCAGTTTTCATTCTCTGTGTCAGTTTTAGGAATAGAGGAAGCAGTTCTTGTGTTGTTCTTGGAAGCAGCCCAGGTAACATCAGCACAGAACTAAACATAGGAGTGTCTCAAAGACTCCCAGAGGAGAAGATGGCAGTGGAGCTGGCACCAGCCATGCTGCTGCACCACAGAGTGCTGCAAACAGGAGTGTCTGAGAGCAACACCAAGCAAGGCTCAATCAGGCTTCTCTCTCTTGTCTGACTGCTGCCTGTCCAGGGCAGAGCAAGGCACCCACAGATGTATAAATCCTCTCCAGCACGGAGAAAGCAGATAGATAAATAAAGCACACTGAATGAAAGGCAGCAAAAATAATAGGGATTTGAACTGAAAAGCCAAGTCTGCTTAGACACTGAGCTGGTTCCAGTGCACTCATCAAGAGCTACAGAAGAAATGAGAGGAAAGCTGCACTTAATGCCAGCATTACCACAGTCACACAGTGCCTGGAAAGAGAAACTGCCACTGCACAGCAGGCAGTGAGCACAGAAAGGCAGCAAATCCAGAGGCAATCAAAAAAGGCTCCTGAAACACTTGCACACCTGCTCCAGACTTTACACAGGAGTTACTCGTTTGGCACAGTGTCAGTCAAGATAAGGGCAGGCACAAAGGAACGTGGCTGTAGTAGGTGACAAAGGACAAGTGCAGTGTGGCAGGGCTGGGGAAGAGGAAGGGCAGGAAGGGCAGGAACTGTTAAACACCCATCCTGACACCCAGAACATGGAGTATTCTGCAAAGGAGGCAGAGCCAGCCTGGTAAACAAACCCTGCAATGCTGAGAGTGAGGGGAGCTGGGGGCACTGGGGGAACCTGCTGTGGGTGAGCATCAAGGGAAAGAGCCTGGGACCCAAATGAAAGGGACAGGCAAGAAGAGCCCCCATGAGCTCCTGGCAAGGGGCAGCTCCAGGTTTTCACAAGAAAAGCTGCCCTGCTAAGCCATCAACTGCTAATGAGGCATTTTTCAAATGCCCTTAAGTAAACCTTTGGCAAACCCAGGCCTCTGAAGCTGTCTCAGAGGGATCTTTCCAGCCTTTCATCAGCTGCAAGTGCTCTTCCTGCCACAAACTAGTAAGTGAGCACCCCAGGGTGAAGAAGCTGTTCACAGGAGGTGTCAGTTCATTAATAAAAAACCTCCACATTCACATCTTTGCTTTGGAAAGTTACACTCAAAGAGAAAGCCGCTAATTTTCCGGTCCAAACAGAAACAGCAAGACACCTTCCTACCCAGCTGCCTTAGCATAGGGCTTCCTCTGAAGAACAACAAAGAAAGAGCAGCAGTAAATTCCAGGTTACAGTGAAAGCAAACCCCTGATGGGCATCAGGAGGCATTTTAAAAGGCTGTACTTTCCTTTTGCCTGGGCCTAAAGGCAAAAAGTCCTAAGGACAAAATGAGCAGTTGCTTCCTCCTTAGCCCTGGAGAGCACAGCAGCCTCTAAGTGCACTTAGGGCTCCCCTGGAGCTGCCCCTGCCCTGGCCATCCCAGCCTCAGTGTGAGAGCCAGGTACAAGGGGATGATTGCATCCTTCTCCTTTGGGATGGTATCAGGGCTCCCAAGAGTTGTGATCTATGGGATGGCTGCTAGGGGAAAAACATTTCCTTTGTGCATGTGATTTTATTCTCTAGAGGCAATGAATGTGCTGAGGTGTGGACTGGATGGGAACATGAAAAGATGTGTGAATTTCTCCACTCATAGTAAATATTCTACATGTTGAATTAGTGCTTAGCTTGCCTGAAAACATTAGGAAAAGAGAACCTGAGACAGATCTTGCGAATGCCCAGGGTTAGGAGCTGGTTTGGCTCTTCAGGAAGGAAACAAGAAGCAGCTCAGGGGCAGGAGATGAGGAGTCACAGCACCTTTAGACTTCTCTTTGCCTTGTCCTTATGGTTGACCCCCCCCAGTTTGACAGGGGTAAATAAGTTGTCAAATACCAGAAGCTTTTTAAATCCATAGCCTTGCCTGGCTCATGGCAAATAGGTTCTCTTTGCCTTCCTCAGGGGTTGCAGGAGCATTTTCAGGCTGATAGGTAGGAAAAGTGTGGTTATTTTCTGATTTTTCCTCCCACAACTGAAGTTGTTCCCGAGCAACACCACCTACCCATGTCTGCTTCCTGCAGCCCACCTTCATCCTCACACAAATTCACCACTGAGCTCTCTTCCTAAAATTCCAACCTTGTTCTTTTGCACATAGAATCGTTTAAAATTACCTTACAAGTTTATCAGCCATCTCACACTCTCTGCTACCTGATGAAAGACAGAGGTCTTGCAGCTTCCTTCCAGAGGAAAAAAGAAGGAGATCCCAGAATGTGTACAGAGAAATGGACACAAAAGATTAATATATTTAAGTCCTCTTATATTTTCTCACAGCCATTACACATCCATAGTAGCATATTTATTTGTTGTACCAGTAAATGTTGATATAATGTGTGCCAAATATTTTTTTTATTAATACAGGAACACAAATATATTCCTCACTTTCCAGAGCAAATTGGGTTGAATCATCCATCCTCTGTGGATTCAGTGCCTTGCAGAACGAGGGATTCTCACTAAGACTGCTGTACACTTGAGTGTAACTGCTTTTACAAAGACTGTTAAGGCAAATAAGTGAACAGAATACAAAATATTTGCTACAAGTTTCAATTCTCATAGACTGCAGATCCACCCCTCTGATTCAGAGTGGTGCAAACCCCTGCAAGGCAGTTGTCAGACTGTTTCCCTCTTTCCAGGCTGCATTCCTTTTATAACACCTCTACTCAATTGCTTTTCAGATCTGAACAGTTGGAGGTGGGAAACTGGGCAGCAGAATGTTCTTCCTTTTCCTGGGAGCTATTTTGCATTCCTTAGCAGAAAAAGAAGGCAGTTTTTAATTTAACAATGACACTTTGCAAGTGATTAATCTACTTCAGGGATTACACCTCCTGAAATTGTAAGCATTATTCACAGGTTCAGAAACACACAATAAGGAGTAACTACACCAAATATATTTGCATTTATTACTGTAAGGCAGATTCTTGTTTAGGGTAAGTCACAATATGGCACAAAGTGGGGCTTTGGGTCTGATCAGAGAGGATGACAGACATCAAATACATGACAACACACAATTTCTTGGGGTAGCATTTCATACAGCAGCCTAGTGTTAGAGAGGGATTTACTCTTGTTCTAAAGCAAATCACCCATCAGGATGCTGCAGCTCCTGTACACCTGCAGCTGCTGGCTTAGTGCTCAGACTGTCTGAAATGGCTCATCCCCGCTACAGAGTGACACACATGGAGCCAGCAGGGCCAGCCCATCAGTCAGTCTGGGCAGAAACTTCCCTTTATTACCCCATCCTTGGTCCCAGCCTTGCTTTCTGTCTTTCTTGGTGCTCTCCTGGCTACTTTTTCTAAGAGATCAGACTCCCTGAGTCCAGGCAAGAATGTTTCTCTAATGACCCAGGCTACATCAATCATCCCCCTGACACATTCCTATTCCATGGGATGAATTTTTGATTAAGACTCTGGACTGTCAGGACAGCTGGATTCTCTAATTTCTTCTGCCACTGATTTCTGCAAGGCAGTGGGAAAATCAGATACTCCTCTGTGCCTCAGTTTCCCATTCTCTGATGGGGCTACTGACTCCCCACCAACTGCTGTAATTGTGAAGATTATAACATTCACCAGCCAACCTGAACGCCACTGAAAGCCAGGAAAAAGAAATGTATGTGGATATCTGCACAATCCAGGCAGCTCCACCAAGCAGACCATGCTCTGTGGGAACCACTGCCTTTAAACCTGGACATGCTGGGAAAAGCACCAGAAGGCATGAGGAACACAGCTATTAAACTTGGTTTGAATGCACCTGACGTGAGCTTGGCGGCCTCAGCTTAGCTGCTGGTGGTCTCAAATCAAGTGAAACAAGCAGAGTCTCCAGCACAGCAGTGCCCAAGTTAATGGAGAGAGCAGCAGGCAGCAAGTGTCTCCTCCCCACCCCATGCAGCCCAGGATGAAAGGTAGCCCAGGCCTCCTGCTGCCCCTGGACAAAAGAACCCCCCCAGTGGGTAACTGGGCGCCTGCAGGGGCTCCAGGGTGGATGCACTGAGGTTCACTAACAGGGCCTGCACACAGACAGAGCTGCAGGAGCACAGAGCTCTGAGATGTGGCCAAGGCAGCCTGAATCACTGATGCACTTTGCTGTGCACAGGGTCCATTTTAATCCATGCAACAGCATCCACATTTTATGCTCTCCATAAAGCACGGAGTAAAGATGCCAACAGGCACAATCAACCTTTCTACACAGGTAATGCAAAGCCCAGCACTTTGCTTCTCCCCAGCAGCAGAGAAAGAGGCAGATGCTCCTCAGGAAACAGCCCAGTTTGGAATTGTACATTTCTCTGTCTGTCCCTTCATTCCTGTTTGGAGCAACCAATCCCCAACCACAGTTACCTGTCCCACCAGGCTGCTGGCAGGAAGAGACAGGGTTTATGCAGCACTTTGAAACACTACACAATTATTAAGCTTTAATTACTGTAATTTAGCCAGCTGCATTACTCCTCCAAGTTCAGAGAGCAGTTAGGAGTCTGTATTTATCCTGGCTTGAACACACAGCAGTGCTTTATGCCAATGCAGAGCTCCCTCCAGGGAATGCTAATGCCCCCCCACCAGAGGCCAGCAATGCTCAGAAATCCACAGAACTTCAGCACATCTTTCATCCCCTTGATAGTTTCCTTCCCATCCCCACTTCTTCAGCTGAAGACTTTGGGGACCAAAGCAATGATCCAGCCTGGCAGGTTCACTGCCAGACAGATCCCACAGGGATGAGGAGGTTCAACACTTACAGATCAAAGCCTATAGAAGCAACAGACAAATTAAAGCCATGAAGCAGAGGGGCAGCAGAGCAGGAGTCAGCAGCTAAAATCCTGTGTGGATCTTCCTATTGGTCCTGGGGTTAAAACTGCAGTTTAAAACAGTTTCTTTACCCTGTCACTGCCAAAAACAAGCTATTCCCCAGCTAAAATCATCACTCTCCGTTTCATGTCCTGCCATAACCTCCTTCCCCCAAAACCTCAAAGCTCTTCATGCCCCATCACATCAGGCAGGATGCAGACTGGGGAGAGAGACAGGGAAAGCCATTTTGAAATTAAATGTTAAGGGAGAGGAACTTACTTTGCGACATTTGCCTTGCTGGGGGATCCAGAGATCAGCCTGCTTGAAGAGCATCTGGGCTGAATTCCTGCACCACTTCCCCAGCAACTTGCACTGCTGCTGCTCTCCAGAAATGAGAGAGCAAAGAGGGAGAGGGAGCAAGCTTGTGCAGAGCCCAGCGCCGCAGAGAATGAGGCAGAAGCAGCAGAGTGAAGCACCAGAGTGCTGATTAACTCAGCCTGCTTCAGTCACGCTGCAGAGCCAAAGGAGGCGGCCGATGGGGGTGGGGAGCAGGGAGCATCAGGGATGGAAGCAGGGGGAGAAAAAAAGCAGAGAGGGAAGAAAGTTTGCCCAGGATAGCACCAGATGTCAGAGAGAATGGTTCATTCATCAGATGGAGCCGACACAGCGAGGATGCCTGGGCTCGCTGCCTGCAGAGCTGCATATGCATGCACAGGAAGGAATGATGCTGACAGACAGGGGTCTGGGCAAAAGCAGATGGCAAATTAGGTAGGACAAAGTGCTATAAAATATACTACAGGAAGGAACACCTGAGTAGGCATGGAAAAAGACTAAATTGAGACCAAGATGACTCCACAGCTTTGGATTCAAGCTCAACACAAAAATACAAGTATTAGCTATTTAAACAAGTTGAGATGGTTACAGGTCCTGTCTGAAGTGTTCTCTTGCTGATAAAGAATGCTGGAAAAGCCCCTCCCAGCACCCCATATTCATCCTGAGCCATACAATCTGAACTTAAAAGTGCACATAAATTCACCACAGCCATGCCTGGGGCTCCACGTTTACCTGGGCATGGCACACGGGAGGCAAAGGATAAGTTAGACAGGGAAGGGCTGGGTGGAAAAACAACAAGGGGATAGAAAGGTGAAGAAGGAACGAGCCCTCTCTCTCATTCCCATCTTTTGCAGGAATGTTTCCTTCCCACTGTTGGAGGGATACACCTTTATAAGTGAGTTTTTATTTAGCTCCCACTTCAGCGCTGTCCTAATTCTGTCTGGGGCTTCCTAGTTCTGCAGAGCAATCACTAAAACAATTGCTTTCATTCCACACAGAAAGGGGTAAAGAACTGGCCCAGCCAAGCACCACCCCAGCAGCTTGCCAAGGTTTGCACTGGCTGGTACCAAACAGGACAGGCACTGCCAGGGCTTCCAGTCTCAGCACACTGCGCAGCTGTGAAAACCACGTACAGGTGTCTGCACTCACCTACCCTGCCTGGACAAGCCTTTCCTTTCCTTTCCTTTCCTTTCCTTTCCTTTCCTTTCCTTTCCTTTCCTTTCCTTTCCTTTCCTTTCATTCAAATGCCTCATTAGGCACAGCCCATATTCTGTGTTTTAAGCCAGAAGGGCAGAGATTAAATGGCCTCAATATTCACAATAAACCCAGCACAAGGTCTGGTTATCACTGGTGTGTTGGCACTGAGTTACACACGGGTGTGTGATCTCACTGAACTCCCAGAGCCAAAACTGAAGGGAAGCAGACACTTTGTAATTATTTAATGTAACTTCAGGAGAAAGCAGAAGAGAGGGAGGCAAAACATCCTTTATCCTTCTGTAGAGCATTTTGTTTCCTAGACAACAATTTTATACTGAAAAAGACAAGAAAATGTCCTAATGGCACAATTTTTCTTTCCTGCCCGCTAAGGAACTACTCATCTACTCCTTTCAACACAAAGAAAAAAGGAGAGAAAAAAAGAAAAATATCAGCAACAAGACTGGGTAAGAGTGGATAAACCCTCACACAATAAATATGCTTGTAAGACCCCTTCTTTATTACAGTGCTTGCTGATCTGTTTCCCATGGCTTTGTACCTTTTGAAGACTTGAATGAAAGTGAATAAAACAACCTGCTTGTGCAATACCAGGAACAATCCTTGTGCTTCATGCAGTTAGAGGTCCCAACCTCAAAACTCCAGCTTTGCTCATGGACACAAATGGCATTGGATAAAATTGCTGCTTCTTGTTTATCCCACTGCTAAGAGACCTTGCTCTTAAGTGTTTATGTAGGGCAGTAATTTGTACTATCTAGCTTCCTTCTGATATCAACTGGTATCAGAAAGTGCATTTGGATATGCATTTGTGCATCAAATAACATAATGAAAGAGCAGAAGACAAAAGCTTGGGATCTGAAGATAAAACTGGGACTTGGAATAGAAGGCTGAGTATAAAGGCAGGGGCTGACCTATGCAAAATCTGCAGCATAAATGAGAGACACCTGTGGAAAAAGGACCAGTTTGTGAAAAAGCCCTTGGAAGAAGAGCTGAGCTTTTAGAGAACAGCAGGGAACAAACACAGAGACACAGGCACTGGCAGGATGAGAAATGGCAAAGGACTTGGGCTACTTTTCGGTCCAAAGGTGGGGCTGTAGCTGTTGTTAGGCAGCCTGGAACAAGGACCAACAGAGCTGGAGCAAGGGGGAGCACAGCCCAGGCTCCCTGAACACAATTCCAGGCTCTGACCAGGAGCACAGTGCTGTATCCAGGCTGCAGCAATTACAGGGACAATACAGCTCAGTTGTTATGGCTAACTGTGCAATGAATTATGTCAATCATTTTTATTAGTTGTGTAGCTGCAAATCCAGCCTGTGGCTAATGCAACCCAAACTCAGGAGCCTCCCACTGTCCTGTGGCAATCAGTGCTGCTCTCTCAGCATGTGCTGAGTGGTCTTGGAGCAGAGATTCTGGCACCTTTCACAAGGTTAAATTCACTTCAGAAACACACAGAAAATTAAAAAGTCAGAGGAGGAGGAGAAAGAACAAGAATATCAGCACATTTAATTTAAGAATACTCTCTGCCTTTCTCTGTGGTGTCTGGCTTCTGGCAAAAACTGGAAGGCAGCCTGCATTTCACCAGACAAACTCTGATCCTCAGCCACTCCTGACAAGGGAACTCATCAGCCAACTGCAGCCAGAGGACCCAGTGTCTGATCTGAGTGGCAGCTGTGTGTGCTGCAGCAGTGCTCTGAGCACATCTCCTGCTCCAGGAGTGCTCACTCTCCATCACACACACACATATTGCTGGGATTGCTCTCAGCCAGATTTGGGAGTGATGTTTTCACGTGGCTTCACTTTATTTTTAGCATTTTAAAATAAACCTAGTACATCAAACTTACTGCTGAGGTTACAAAGCAGGTTAATTAATTTGTTCCCTTATCATTGTGTATGTGTCCAAGTTCTTCACTTTGGGAAGGAAGAGAGATTCCACCTTAGATGGGGTGGAACAAGGATCTGCTATATTAAAAAAAAGAAAAAAAAAAAGAGCAAACTTCTTAGTACCAAATAATAATTACAGAATGGTTTGGGTTGAAAGGAACCTTAAGGATCATCTAGTTCCAAACCCCCTGCTTAGGGTTGCTAACAAGTATAAAATCATGGTCTTTCCTCAGAATCCAAACAAAATAAGTTGTAAATTGCAGCTTTATGTATCTGTGGGGGTGTTTTTAATTCCTATTTAAAAGACTGTGGTGATCTCTTGCCTTCAGTTTTAATACCCATTCAGAAAGGAGGGAGAAAAAGTTTCAAGCAGTCAGGAGAGGAGGTTAGGACTTGAGAACACCATGATTCCCCCTATAACCTCCTTGCCAGGACATTTTCCTAATAGGCTTTTAAAGGTTGCTGCCTGTCCAGCAATTTGAGATGATCTTCCTGCACTGTAGAGTGGAGAATGTCACATGAGAAAGGTGAGCCAAATATAGTGACCTGCAGTGAAAGTGTCCCCACTGTGCCCTGCTCTCTTTGGTGCCCTCAGATCCTACACAGAACACACCCATCCACACAGTGGTAATTGCATCTTCTCTCAAAATCATCAGTACCAGATTAGCCCATGATGTCACTAACAAGAGAACAAGGAGATAATTGTCCTCATTGGAATGTTAACTCCATGGTAATAAAGCAATTGGATATAAAACAACATAGGTCAAACACATCCTCTGAGCACTCCAGAACCAAGAGCTTGGGGCAGGAGTGAGCCCAGCACAGCTCAGAGCAGAAACCCAGCAAAGGAGCAGCTGAGTGGGCAAGTGCCACAGCTGATGTGAAAAACTGCCCTTTCAAAACCACTTACACTGCTGTAGTATCTTTTGGTCTAGTGAGTCCCTAGCAGGTATTTGCACTCATGAACAAAACCATTTCTCACTGCTGCAAACAAAACAGCAAGGAAGGGATGCTCAGAGAAAACAGAGACAGCCAACAGACAAAGGCTCATGGTGTGGTGGGGAAAGGGACACCAGAGAGAAAAGCCAAGACTGTTCTCTCACCAGAGCTGGCTGAGACCCCAAGTTACCATCAGCAAAACTGGACTCAGATGATTTCATTGCTCTGATTTATTTAAAAAATCTTTCAGTGAATTCAGCCTTTCAAGTGAAGCAGAGTTGAGTGTCCATGGGAATGGAGCCCCAGCTCAGAGCTCAAAAGGGACACTGCAGGTGTGACAGAGGACACCCCACCCGTGCTGTCCCCCTGGGGTGCCTCAGTCCCACCCCACAAAGGATTTCCCTGCTGACACAGGGATGTGAAGGTGACAGAACTCTCAACTTCCATACTAACCATGGATCACACCTCTACATAATAATACCACCATGTGAATCTTGACCCAAAACAATAAAGACATTTAAAAGGACTCAACATCTAAGTTGTTATCAGCAAACCTACCTGACACTTCTCCTTGAGGTCCATGGCTGTGCAGTTCTGTAAGCATGTCCAGCAAAAGGGGACTGCTCCTCAGGGGAGAATGTCTCCTGGTACAGAAGAGCCTGGCTACATTTACCACATCACCATCTGTAGGAACAGAAGGGGAAGCAATCAAGTCTCCCACATTGCTTCCTTTAGGATAAGAAAGTGATGAAATTCACAAAATTCAAATTACAGGATTGGTCTTTAAAAGAAGAACTAGGGAGATGAAAGTCCTTCTAATACTGCATCAACTCACCCCATAACTCAGAAGTTAAGTCAGCTTAACTCTCCCCAAAATCTGACATCCACAGATGAATTAAGTTCCCTGCAGTGCAGAGTAAGAGTATGACTGTAGTCCTGACAGGCTTTTGGGCAACCCTCCAAAAAAAGGCTGACAAAGCTTGGATTCCACCAGGTGTTGGAGCAAGCTGTCACCCACGGCTATTTGTCTTGTTACTCTTATCTATCAGGAGCTTTGTCCAGCTAATCTCTAATGGAGCCAGCAATAATGATTCTTCCATTTGCTGAACATC